TCCACCGGTCTCCTGGCCCACTGTGGGACACCCTATGTGTGCGAGAGAGACAGAGCGACGAGAGCACCGCCCGAAATCAGGCTGGAGAAATTATGTTTGAGCTGCGGGCTTGCCTATCAGCGCCCCGAGACGAACGAGCGAGCCGCCTGACGGGCTCGAGATAGGCAAACCCGCAACACTGCCACGTCTCGAATCGACTGATTGCCTATCTCCCAGGCGCTCCCCTCCTCTGTCCGTTTATGACCGGTTCACGCTGACTTCCCCTGCACTGTCAGATCTAATGTGTACTTGACAAGGACACATCTACAGGAGTGTCCTTGCACTGGAAAGCCCTCCGCTCCGATTTGGAGGTGGTGTTCTTGGCGCTTCCAGTTGATACTGACTGGATTTTCAAGACCGTATTCGTTCTTGACATCGGTGTGCGCGTTGAAAATACACTCCTCGACCACGCCTACAGGCTCAGCGCACCATTTGTACGACTCGCAGTACTCAGAAAAATTTGGTTGTTTTTGTTTTGTGGAGTGGTTTTGTTTTTCTGGAACAGTCCAGCCAGATTGGGGTTCAGCAGTCCAGCATTCGTGCCGGCCGAAGTCCACGCCAAAAACCAGGGGCGCCGGAAGTGGGGTGCAGGGTGGGCAGGCTGACCCCCCTGGAATTTGGCAGGGGGGGCTTCGCCTCCCCTGAAACTTGGCGGAAAGCTGCGAAAATCGAGCTAGGCTGTCCCATTTTTTCCCCGTGTCCCGTTATAATCCCGAATGACCCTAGCACACCTTTGGTTCGATGAAATATTCATGTATGAATCTTTAAATTTAACAGAAAACTAATTCCACCTCAATAATTTCATATATTCAATATTACGATGCCACTTTTTTCAGCTGGAAAAAGTAAGTTTGAATGACATTTGTTGACTGTTTTAAATGGCACCTTTTTTGGTTGGGGGGGGGGGGTATAAGGAACGTAGGATTGAGAATTGTTGCCCCCCCTGACGAAATATACTTCCGGCGCCCCTGCCAAAAACAGCGAGCCAGCATCGGCACGTCGGGCACGTCGCTGCCGAAACGGCTAAACCACTTTTGGCGCTCTTTATCGCATTGGATGGCCGATGACTTTGTTTTTTGTGTTGTATTTCTTTTTTCTTTTTTTTATCGGAACCACCTTTTTTTTCTGTCTGAGATCCAGTTTGTCGAGAAATGTGTCAAGATGACACCGTGACCCCGGCGATGTCGGCGATGTCGATCACCCTTCCCGAACCGGCGATCGCGTCAAGGGCTCACGGCGCGCCGCGGCGGGCTGCTTTACACTGCGAGAAAAAGTGTGGATAGTACAACAAAAGTACAACAAAAACTGTACAATAAAAGTACAACAGGGATTGTGGAAAGTACAACGAAAATTGTACAAACCACAACGAGGCCTGGACTGCACAGCACTCGTCATGCCGATTCCATTGTACTTTGTACAACAATTCTTGTACTTAAAAAGTACAAAAAATACCTGATAAAAAATTTGCCAGAAATTTGTGTACTTTTGTTGTGGTTATTTCTAGCAGTGTACAAGAGTCGCTCCGCCTGCTTCGCCGCTCTGTCTCTGTCGCACTCTTTGGGCGTCCCGCGAGGGCGCGAGAGAGACAGAGCGACGGGCACTCGGGCCTCACTCTTTCGGCCCTCGATGGACGATGGGGCGCGGAGCACCAGACTGACTCCGAACCGCGATGAAATTTCATCGCTCCGTCCCTCTCGCACCCATGGGGCACCCATGCGTGGCGTCAGAGTGCGAGAGGGACGGAGCGGCCGCTCGGAATGAGACGGCATGCCCTGCGGGGCGCGGCACGGCGCGGCACTTCGGGGGAGTGTCGGGGCGCCCTGGACGGGACGGCCTGGACGGGACGGCCTGGACGGGACGCCCTGGACGGCCAGGGTGCTCGCAGGGCGCGCGTAGGCCCACAGTGGGCCAGAAGACCGGTGGAGGCGGCCAAAATTCTCGACGCGTTTTGAGCTCCAGAGTCGCTAAATGGGACTCGAACCGAACGAGCGACCCTCACCAATGGATTGATCTCCGAACGAGGAACCCATTGGTGGGGTCACACGTTCGGTTCAAGTCCTGTTTAGCGACTCTGGAGCTAAAAGCGCGTCTAGAATTTTGGCCGCGTCCACCAGTCTTCTCGGCCACCCACTGTGCGTCGGTCGAGTCGATTTAGGTCGCTTCACAACATTTTCAATCTGGCTTTCAGGATGAACCATCCTTCCGGTGTATTTAAAGGACGACGCGGGGACTCCCCCCCCCCTCCCCTTTCCCCTCACTGACCCTGGGCAATAAGCTATGACAAGGGCTCAGACTACAAGCGTTGCCAAATGCCCTGCGGCAGGCGCTGGCAAGGGCCTCCCAGGGCCCTCCCTGCAACGCCCCGCGACGCCCCGCGACGCCCCGCGACGCCCCGCGAGGGCCTATAGATTAAGTCGATCTCGCGAAGCCTCTGCCAAGAGCTGCCTCACTCGCCATGCCGAGTCCCTGCAGACTGATTCAGAGAGTCGTGGTCGTCGCTCTGTCTCCCTCGCACCTACACGGGACGCCGCAGGAGTGCGAGAGAGACAGGCTGCCGTCTTCTTGCCCCCCTGCCAAAGGGTGCCAGCCAGAGGCCGGGGCAACCTGATATGAATCTTACAGCGCAGGATGTACTATATTGAAAAACGGTTCAGGAGACGAACCTACGCAGCCGGTTCCTGCGAACTTCCGTCCGCGTGCACGTCCTGCCAGAGGCTAGGAAAAGTTACGAAAGGCCTCTCTGTGGCGGTCCCCCATTCCCGAAATGGCCATGAAAACGGCTCATTTAGTTCCCGTCGGTCCTGCCCAGGGGTACCGCGAGCGGCGCTGCCAAAAGCCCGCTACCCGAGGCCCCCTGCACAGTGGGCCAGAAGACTGGCGGAGACGGCCAAAATTCTAGGCGCGTTTTGAGCTCCAGTGTCGCTAAATGGGACTCGAACCGAACGTGTGACCCCACCAATGGATTTCTCGTTCAGAGAGCAATCCATTGGTGGGGCCACACGATCGGTTCGAGTCCCATTTAGTGACTCTGAAGCTCAAAACGTGTCTGGGATTTGGCCACCTCCACCGGTCTTCTGGCCCACTGTGCCCTGCCCGCCCCGCCCCCAGTAGGCTGACTCCGCACCGCGCCTCGCCGCCCCGTCTATCTCGCACACGCATGGAGTTCTGCGGGAGTGCGAGAGAGACAGAGCGTCGACCCGCTGCTCGGAAGGAGCCAACGAGCCCTCGGTCCCTGGGGTCGTGCGTTATGCGTGAGGCCCCGTGGTGCCCTGCATGCAGCGCGGTGCTTCGCGTTAGATTTACATTGCCCGCTACGACTCTCATTCCGAGTCGCTCTCGTCGCTCTGTCTCTCTCGCACCTACACGGGACGCCCCATGAGTGCGAGAGAGAAAGCGCGACGAAAATGACTTTCGGAATCAGACTTGCAGTGACACTAGCCCCTGCGCCGCCCCTGCCCAACGACCGACCAACAATTTCGGATCCGCGGTGGAAGGAGTCTGATTCCGAGAGTCATTTTCGTCGCCCTGTCTCTCTCGCACTCATGGGGCGTCCCATACTGGTGCGAGAGAGACGGAACCACGAAAACGACTCTCGGAATCAGTCTGCTGGAGCGGCTGGGGTGTGCACACCAGCGGGGAGTTTGGTTTGAGTTTAGAGCCGCAGTGCCGCGCAGTGCAGTGGCGGCGGTGGATGCAGCCGGGGCTCAAGGGGGCGGGGGGCGCGGGGGCCGCGGGGGCAGCGGGAGCGGGGGCAGTGGCGAGGGAAGGGGGAGGGGGGAGGGGAGCCCCCCGCGAACGCGCTATACCACTGCCAACCTTGCCGCACCACCTTGCCTAGTCAACTTCCAGGGGCTCGGCCTCGGTGGCCTGGTCCAGCGCGCGGCGGACACGCTCCGTCCTGAATTCTCGTTAACCGTAGATAGATTCACGCCCTTCGTCGATAAAGAAGTGGGCTCCGGAACAGCTCCGCGCTGGTTGCGCGGGGCGCGGGAGAGTTGCCGCCCTAGGCTGCCTGCCAGCCCCGACTGCCCGCCCCGCCTGGGCTGCCTGGCTGCCTGGCTGCCTGGCTGAGCGCAGAGTGCTGAATGTTGTGGTGCGTCCAGCAGAAGATTCCGTCTGGCCTGAAACCTGAAATGACTGGCGCGTCGCACAGCGTCGCGAGTGGCAATGCTTGATGACTAAAGCGTGAATCCCGAAACCGAAACGGAGCGTGATGTTCGTGACGCCCTGGATCGGTGCCTAGCGTCGTGATTTCGGAATCATTGCGATCGTTCCGTTCCCTCCGCTCCTGTCCAAGCCCTTGTTGTTGTGCAGGGCTCGGGGCTCGCCTTGACCTCAGGCAACTTCTCATCTGTGATATGACATGGAAGTTTGTGACCAAGTTTCGGGCCTGAGCGGAATATGGTGAGTCTCGAGGCGACTGGAAGTGTGGGAGCTGACTGTCGTCAGGCAGTGGCGCTGTTTTCCAGTGTGCGGGGCTCGTTTTCTGGGTGCAGGGAGAGGTTAGGTGTCGGTCCTACGACGGCCTAGAAAGAGGAAACTCATCTCCCAACGCAACATTTTGAGGAGCGCCAGCCGCGCCGACAGGTCAATGTTTGGGCCACCTCCCTCGTCTCGAAGAGAGAACTGCCCGCCGTGATCTGGTTTCAACATTTTGACCTGTCATCCTCCTGTAAATGACTGTGTCAATGCTAATGGGGGTGTAGCAGGGGGCAGGAGCACCCCACCTTCCCTTGGCAGCGATCTCCTTGTTTCTCAAACCAACTGAAATAACCTGATTATCTGCTCAAGGTCTGAATGGAAATGTAAAACTCTTGAAGATACTTAAAATTCACTCTTCATCTTCTCCAGGTTACTTCCAATTGTAGCTGCTCACTTCCAATGGAAGTGAAAATTGAGTAACGCTGTGGGAGTGGTAACAAGTCAGGCTGAAATTCCCCAGCTGGCTAACTTTCCGCAAGATGGCGTCAGGCCTGCGCCACATAGCAACAGAACCTGGCAACTTGAATCATCGTTTAGACGTTCCAAGCGGTGCCGCTGGCTCAAGTGGTAATACAATGTCTGGTCTAACACCTGATGGTTCTGTAGCTAATGCCTCTAATAGCTTGGGCAACAGTCATCTACATCTCAAAAGAAGTCCGTTACTTCGTAACAAAAAGAAGTCTGTAGCTGGCACTGCATCAGATTCTGTGAGTGACAAGCCCGTTTTTGTCATTTATTCGCCTTGAAGTTGTCTTTGGCTAACTCATTTCTTATTTTCCAATCAGGATGGAAGTGTAGATAGCAATAGCCTCTCTGCAGACTCAAATGCTGAAGTTGCTCACAAACATTCTCCTAAAGGTGTGCCTGTTGGTGAGTGATAATAGGTGCCGTAAAGATGATTTTGTGATAGTACTTTGTACTATACTCTATTACTTCTGTTCTAGTTCAAGGGAAGAAACTTCGACAAAGGCGAGGGTCAGAATGGGAGATTCTTGAAGGACTGAAAGATGGACAAAGGTTCGATAAAAAACCACCTGTATTTACTGGTTATCTTCATAAGAAACGGAAGTGGCCTTTAAAGGGTTGGCACAAGGTAATATAGAACCATACTAAATGTTCATGGTTTTTATAATAATAATAATAATAACTGTTGATAATGTTTCTCTGTTTCAAAACATCTAACATAATTTCTTTAAAAACATTTAGCGGTACTTCCTGGTGGATAAAGGTATTTTAATTTATGCCAAGAGTCCAGTAGACGTTGCCCGTGGCAAGCTGCATGGGTCTGTAGACATTGGTTTATCCGTGATATCCACTAAAAGTAAGCGGAGGAGATTGGATATTGATGCTGAAGAATTCATCTATCATCTCAAGGTTGTTTAAGCTATGTTTTTATTTTTGACTGTGCTACACCAGCTCATCACACAGCAATTGGTCTTGCCATTGGTATAGTTTCTAAAGGTGACATTTTTTTTTTCAGGCCAAAACTCATGAAACATTTGTGAAATGGGTTGATCAGCTCAAGGTACACCGTTTGTATCGGCAACATGTTTTAACCTTCGGTTCAGGGTCAAGGGAAGGCACTCTACCCTTCTCCCCTGGGCACAGAAGTCCAGCACAGCCTAGTGAGTCTCAAACTTGTATCAGACTTGAAGCCTGTCTGCTCTTGCATCGCTTTCCTCAAATGTTCCTTCTTTACAAACATTCAGAATTGCCACTAACACCTCCAGAAAGAGAAACACGTGATGGATCATTGCCCCGTGGGGTAAAATTATCATCACCCCCTTCAAATGTACTGCTACCAGGCACAGGATCTACTGGACGATTGTCTAACTGGATAGTGGACACCCAATCTACTCTGGAGTCATTAAACCGTGAATTGGCACAAGCTGGTCAGACTGTCACTCAACTGAACAGAATTTTAGAGCAGATTGAATCCATACCAACTCTAGATGTTGAGGTACACTGAGATTTTTCATTAATTGCCTACTTGGATATTTGGTTTTTTAAGATCATGTTTACTCAAAGTTGCTGTTGGTTTTCATCTCAAGCCACTTCCTATTGAGGGATCTTCGCCAAATATTAAGAAAGACCGTAAAAAATTTGGACTTCGCAAAAAGAAAAGTTCGAAGGGTAGTTCTATGGATTTATCTGCAGCTGGTTTTAGCCCAAGCAAAAATAATTTTGAACAAGAGTCTGCTTCTCCACTTTCAGTAAGCCAATGTCAAATATCTTGCAGTAAAATGGTTATAATTGAGGAAATTCTCACAAAAATTATTACTTTTTCAGACAAGTTCATTCACAGGCTTATCAACTTCACCAGGAGGACATGTATCTCTAAATCGCTTGAGTAGTAGCAACTCCTCTTTAACTATTGGATCACAGGGCATGACTGCTTCCTTGAGCACTGGCGTTGCTGCTGCAAGGCCTCAGAGTTTGCATGGGGCAGAACACCTTCTGCCTCTAGTTACTTCACCAGCAGACAGCCGTATCTCCTCATCTTGCACTCCAGACAATCAATTACGTGAAGATTTTACCGCACTTGCCAAAGATGGTAAAAAAGGCCTTTGAATCGCATGTGATTTGCTCTTGTATGTGTAATGTCTGTAGTTTAAATAATTTTGTTTTTCTATTTGCAGTTCACAATATTTTGTCCAACGTCCTTTCATCACTTTGTACAGAAAGAGATAGATTGAAAGTAGCTCTTGAATTTGATAACTCTACACTTGCGAATGTTGGCCTGAATAACAGCTCTGTTGGAGGGTTGGGAGCCTTGCCAGGCCTGCGTGCATCGCTAAACCAAGCCCTTCAGCAAAACCAAGATCTTCGCACTCGATTGGCAAGGATTCATGAAGCTGCTGATTTGAGTGATGTTTCTGCTGTTAGTACTCACGTTATCTGATAGCAGTTGCCTTTCTGAAGATCTTTGTGGTCTCACATATTACTTTACTTCTTCATTGTCTTGCCTTTCAGCCGCCAAAGCCCATTCATACATCATTGTCGTACAGTTCTTCATGTATCAGTGCATCGGAATTCTTTGATGCGGAGGAACACCACGACAGCAGTGTAGCAAACACCCCAGCTGATGAAAGAAGAGAAGAAATTGGTGGGAAAATGCAGAATCCAGAGGCAGAGAACGAATTGGATGCAGAGCCTGGTGCTCTCAGCGACACTTCCTCTGAAGCAGGGAGTCTAACTAGTGAAGAAGGCAGTGTTTCCAGTGAAAACAGTGAATTGGCTACTGAAGAATTCAACGCAGTTGAGAATGGTTTGTTCTAACTTCCTCCATTTTTCTTGGTGTGTCTATATCGGTCTATATAGGACATGCCGCACACAGAATTTTCTCTTTGCCCTCTTTTATTTTAGCTGATGGTGGTCAGGCATTGTGCTTGACGGGGCGTCGAACAAAACTACCTGCCCCTCGCCCTGATTCAGAAGGACTGTCGCTATGGAATTTGCTTTGTAAAAATATTGGCAAGGATCTATCCCAAATTTCTATGCCAGTAGCACTCAATGAGCCCTTAAACATGTTGCAGGTGAGAACCCTACAATAAGTCATACAAATGTTTTTGCAATATTATTTTAAAATTGATTTTTGTTGTTTGTAAAATGCAGAGGTTGTGTGAGGAGTTAGAGTACAGTGAGCTGCTTGATAAAGCAGCTGAGTTAAATGACCCACTTGAGCGAATGGTGTGTATAGCTGCCTTCACTGTTTCAAGTTATGGATCTTCATACTTTCGAGCAGGATCAAAACCATTTAATCCCTTGCTTGGTGAAACTTATGAATGTGTCCGTGAAGACAAAGGATTTCGTTTTATAGCTGAGCAGGTTTGTTAGGTGTCAATTCTTTTTTATAATAATAATAGATTGTGCTTCTTTCTCACTTAATGTCTGATCTCATGACAGGTTAGTCACCATCCACCTGTCAGTGTCTGCTATGCAGAATCACGCAATTTTCTATTTTGGCAAGATACAAGAATTAAAACGAAGTTTTGGGGAAAATCAATGGAATTTCAGCCCACTGGTATGTCGTGTATGCCTGCAACTTGCAATCTTCATTTAATTTCAGTTTGTAATCTATCGATTGAAGTGGTTAATAAACCATCATTAATTTTTTTAGGTGTTGTAAATCTTCAGTTACCAAGAACAGGTGATGTTTACCAATGGAACAAAGTGACAACTTGTGTTCATAACTTGTTTGGAGGGCAGCGATGGGTAGATCAGTATGGGGAGCTTCGTATCACAAGCAACTCTGGTATCAGTTGCAAACTTACATTTGTAAAGGTACAATTCAGGCCCAACTCACTATTCGAATGTCAGAGTAAAGGACATTGATCTAATTCTTTTTAATTTGCACTTTTCCAGGCTAGTTATTGGTCTGCTAAACGTCATGAAGTTTATGGACATGTTTATGATGAAAATGGCAAAGAAGTCAGGAAACTATTTGGCAAGTGGAGTGAGGCTTTGTACTGTGGTGTTGCTCCTGCTGCGAAGTGTATATGGAGAAGAGGTACTTTTTCTCTTTCCAGGCTTATTATGTTTTTAAATTTTTTTACCATAGCTGTGGTTTTAACCATGATTTTATTTGTGTTTGAAACAGGTACTATGCCAGAGGATTTTGAAAGATACTATGGCTTCACACGATTTGCCATTGAGCTCAATGAGCTAGATTCAGAAATGGCAAAGTATCTTCCTTGCACTGATACTCGCTTCCGCAAAGATCAAAGGTGGGCTTGGACTGTCAGCACACATTTAATATTTTCCCTCATTGATAAAAAGTGGCTATGACTATGGCAAGAATTATCTCTTCAATGTTTTAATTTGTTTTTTAGAATGCTAGAGGAGGGAAACTTGGATGCTGCTGAAGAAATAAAAATGAACCTGGAACAAGCACAACGGGAAAGGCGTAAGACAATGGAGTTGGAAGGGGTACAGCATGAACCACTATGGTTCAAGTAAGTACAGTTTAACTATTTGCCCACTCTAAATATTGATGTTCGAAAACTCACTTCATGTTTTGTTGGGATATTTCAGGCGGAGGGCCTTGAGCAATGGTGAAGAAATATGGGAATATAATCACAAGTACTGGGAATGCCGCAAATCTCCAGGATTCGTGAACATGCCCATTCGGCCCTTGTGGTAATTTAGTCATAGGTCAATTATTTCCTTTAAGGACGATAAGAAACTGTCAAATACATTATATTCCAACAAGTTTCATTTTAACTTAAATACTGTATTGCTTCTTTCTCTTATATGCTGGAAGCATTTCATACCTGCTTGCAAATTTTCCTGTTACCTAGTTTCACATGTTTAAAACATAATTTTGATGTGAGCAAGCTGTAACATTTAAAAGCAAATGTATTCCAGCCTCCTCCAAACTAAATGTCAGCAGTTTATTTTTTGCTCTTTTAAGTACTGGTTCCTCATAGTTTCAAAACCCCTTCAACTTTACTTTCTATGGCAGAAGAGAGTACTGAATAGAGAATAATGCCTTTGCCCAAAATAGGTGAGTGGTGCTGTCCTGACAATCATGTAGTATCTCTTGCCAAGGGGTTAAAGGAGCACACTTGTTTTGTACAAATATCAAATTGGGGGCAGCGTATGGCTCCATGTCACTTTCATTCGTGTTCACTTTGTATTGCAGTATTATACGTTGTATGTTGCACTGCTTTTGTGTTCGTTGATTTTGCAATCGTACTTCCTCTTCTGCTTCTGACCCTGTAAGTTTCATTATTTTTTATGCTAAAGTTACTTTTGTGGCTGCAAAGGAATGCATAATGTTATTTTAATTATCAAATTTAAACCTATTTTCTGTGGAAATTTATGCTCCATGTCCTTTCTTGTCCTGTTTTTGTTTTTGTTTTTTGTTTTGAAGCACTTGTTAAAATATTGTTCTGGGGTTTTCCCCATTTTAAATGCGAGGTCTACTTGTATGATGTGGATTGTTTATGAACTAGAATTCCTTAGTAAAGGTATGTTCGATGCTGCTGTTAGTGAATGTTTCTTATGCTGTGCTTAGAATTTGTGCATACCTCTTTACAAGAAATTTTCTTGAAAGTTAACTATATAAAACTTTAGAACTGTGATAAGTGGGAGCTGAAAAGTCTTGTGGTTAGTTAAATTGCTAGATTGAAGACAATGAGTCCTGTTGATCGAGGAGTTCTGTCAGTCCTTAAGTCTCCCAAACACTGAACTGTAATTTTTTATTGATCTGTTTCATTATGAAATTTGTATTTAGAGTGGCTGCAGGCTGCATTTTGTCCCTATTTCAGTCTAGTAGCAGCTGCTATGAGTTTGTGCTACTACGTTAAAACAATACTTTGTGGAAGCACATTTTGCTGCGTGTGTAACTTTTGTGTTTATTTTTATTTTGGAATATACGTATTGTATTTATATACCCTTGAATTGTACAAAGTTGGTAGGGTCATGTGGCGAATTTTGATAAAGTTGTTACAAGTAAATTTAATGTCAAGGTCTATTTATTTTTTTGATTTGTTTCAACTGAAAATGATTTTAAAGTCTCAGGGTAGCATGTGTTGTCAGTTAAGAAGTAACCTGCTCAAACTAAAGTCATTGTTTATTTGCACCTATGTAGAGAACAGTCCTGGAGTGTTGTGGTGCTGTTAATATTTATGTTAAAAATTTCAACTCTATATTGTGCCTAATATTGGTCTTCCTCATGGTGTGCTAGTACTGTCAGTGAGGTACTATCATTCTTTACTGAAGCATGTATTCCATTAATTTTGTTGCACTTATTAGTTGTTCCATGCAGTATTTTTATGATGAAAGATAGCTTAATCAAATTTCAGCAAGCAGGCTCTTGCAATGTATTTCAACATTTGTATATAGCACAATATGTTGCAATCAGAAAATGTGGATTTTAAAGAATGTGATGAGTAAACATAAGTTGACATAAGCCTTGACATTTTGGAAGCCTCTATACTTCTGGAACATTTGCTCATGATCAGATTATGACCTTTCCAAGTTTCATCTGTGTTTTTGTTGTTGTTTTTTTTGGAGGGATCTGTTGTAGTCTATAGTTATTCTTAAGTTTTACTACTGTGTTTCTCTGAGTTGAAGCTGCTCTCGTTTGTCTGGTTTTGACTGCTCCAAACGTGAGTATAGGTAGTACACACATTCAACAATGTCAAACAAAATTAAGGTGCAGCTTATATTCAGAGATAAACGGTATCAACTACTTTAAAGACAAATACCACATGCTGACTTTGTGCTTTGGTCGCATAATTTGCCATTATTCTAATGTGTCATTAATATTTTTTTCATCATAAGTGATTAATAGGAGCTATGGATTTGTGCTCTTATTCTCATTAATTGCAAATGTTGTTAAGGAAACATGAATTACCAGCAAAGCAACGAATTTACTTGTTTTATTTCTAAGAAAGTGTGCCTGTTTTATGTTTTCTGATCTGTTTGTGTTTGTCTCATGCTTTTTGTTGTTTACATGGCATGTGTACAGAATTGCCTGTTGTAACTTGCTTCTGTAGTCCGGTTTGAAGACGTTTCTAAATTAACTAAGATAAAGAAACTAAAATTTCATGGCTATTCATGAATTTCCATTATGTTTTGCTGAATTCTATGCTGCCTGTGTCCAATCAATTGATTTCAAGGTTACCGTATTGCTACTTTATTTTGTTGTTTTGAGAAATTTAAATAGAAAAGTATCTTCTTGTTGATGACGTTTTTTGGTGATTGAACTTCGGTATTTATTCTCATTATAATAATGTGTTGGTCATAAAATGACCTGCAATGTAAATTCAGAGTGTCACGGTATGCTTTTAGGCACATTCCAGGATTGTCTTAATGATTTCCGCTCCTTAGCTTTTCATCAAAGGTGATAGCACGCACTACCCCTCCCCCATTGTTTATAAAGTATTACATAGAGCACTGGCAGTCTCTGCATTCTCAGTGACAAAGCCTATTTATTGGTATTGTATTACCATTGCCATTTATGTTTTGCATTTTGCTGCTTTTTTACGTCAGATGTTTGGAATTTTTCATTTATAAAAAAACATTTTTCAAATCCTAAAGGCTGAGTTAGGTTTTCACTGTCAACTTCTGTAGTGCGTTGTACAAGTACAGTGAAGTGGCTAAGGTCTGCTTCTGGGAGGCAATAGATTCATACAACCTGTACCTTCAATGTACCCATTTCATGCATCCCGCACACCCACCTTCTTTTTAAAAAAAATATTTGAAGATTTTCATGACTTTCTGACGTTTCTCAAAGCACTATGCGCCCAAACATAAGCATGTGTGTACAAAGGTTTGCTGCATAGCAGGGTTTTTGAGATGTCAGAAGGTCACAAAGAACGGGTTATTTGCTGTTATGCGTAGCATGACAATGTCATTAAGTTGCAGAAAGGCTAAGAGGGAAACCATCTGGAAGGAAGGTTTGATGGTGTCTTTACGTGTATTGAAGTTTTATTTGTGATTTTTCTTCGACCCTACATCGTGTAGTTCTTTTCTTTTCCTATTTTGTCTTCCAGAAATATGCTTTGCAGTTTCAGAGTGATACTCTAAGGATGATTGTGATGAATGTTTTCCTATATTAAAACATTATTGATGATAAGACACAGCTTCAATTTTGAGGGAAAATACTTTCCCAATTCAAGTTGTATTGCATTCAAATCAAGTGTTTGCTGAGAATATGCTGCTATGGAAGCAGTGTCTGAGTCATTTTTAATTACTAGCTCTTATAATTTGTTCATTCTCATTGCTTGCTCAACTGCAACCCTTTTTTTTTCCCTCTTTGATTTTAGTCATATTCATGTGCAATACATTAGAAACTTCCATGTGTTTATATTAGGGGAGAAACAAGCTTGTATCTTAGTGTCTTTAAATGGAAGTGGTCTAAAATTTTCTCTTGTGTTGTAAGCTATAGAAAAATGTTTCCATGACATTTATTAGTATTGTTCCATTCTTATTTTTTTGTTGGTTCTTTGTTGTGTTGTTGTTTAAGATGTCATTTTTTATGTCCCTCAGGCTATTAGAACACGTTCATTCTACAAAGGAACTAAGACAAGTAATTCATGTTTTCTCCATTTTACTACCAAAAAGTCTTTCTACTTAAAGGACTTCTCTGTGGGCTGTTTTGACAATGCAAGTCTTACCAATGTTCATCAATTATTACTTCTGTCTCATTTAGGCAACAGAAGTGTAGTACCCTTCTTCAACAGAAGTGTAGTACCCTTCTTCTTTTTCAAATCTTGTTCATTAAAATGGGTTGGCATTACTCAATGTCCTTTGTTCATTCTCCCCTGGCCTCAGGCATGTTAGTACATTGGTGATGGGGAGTGGTCAATCTTGCAGCTTTCTTTTTTTTGTAAGAACAACAATAGTCCCTCTCCTTTTTGGTTTAAAAAGCTTTTATTTATATGTTACAATTTATGATATTGTGATGCATGGGTCATGTTCTTTGTATTTTGCCAATGTCCTTCATGGGAAAAATACATTATGATAATTTAAGATTAATGTTTAATATTTTTAAAAAAATGTTGGACGCGTGGATACTGGAACATTCTATCATATCTCAGGTTCGCGTGCGTGCAGGCAAAATGTTTCCAAAACCATGAAAGGATATCACCCATAAATAATACAATATCTTGCTTTGTGTTGAGTTCAATATTCATCACGTGTCAACATTGTGATGTAATTGTGATTGTAAGTTAACTTATCTTTTAAAAGTGAAAATGACTTGGGTAATATGTATCCACTGTGTTAAGATTGTCAATTCTTTGATAAATTGTAGACTATATTGTTCACTTATTTTAAATAACTTCACCCGATATAACATTAAAATTTATTGTATGCATTACAAAAACAACAATAACTATCTGCATAATGGAGATAAAGAGATTTCTTAAAAGTTGAACCTGATACACTCACAAAATAAAATAATTCAAAAACATTTCAGAACATCACAAGCTTCATGATAAAAAATCTTTCACTAATTTAATTGGTTACCAGAAATGTTTATTGTTGTGAGAGATGTTTGGTCAAGGGCAACTTGGATACAGGTTCGTTTAATTGTACTTTGCCAAGTTTTGTGAGTAGGAGCTGTGTAGCAGACAGGTGAGCAAGAGGACATCAATTTGAGTCTGATTTTTGACTGTTCTGTTTGCTTGTTGTACTCCTGAAATAAATAACTCCTCACAACATACCAGTTTCTATTCTTTACTCCTACAATTGCATTCTTGTATATACTGTGAGTTTCCTTTCAGAAATGTAACCTAACATCAGTTCCAAGAATGCTTAAGTGCATTCAATGCAACCACAGTCTTATCCCAGAGCTAAAAGCTGTTTGTCTGAAGTAACTGAAAAGTATCTTTTTCTTCCTCAAAATCAGTACTCAGTCAGTGAAATTAAGTTTTTAGCAGCACCTGCTTGTAGTACCACATAACACCATTACACTACCTCTTTAATGGCATTATAAAATAGACACCCTCTCATCATGTTTGAAGAAAGAATTGAAGAAAGTTTCGACCTAGTTCACAATTTCAGGCAAAATGTTCTCAAATGGAACGGTTTCAAAAACGTGTGCAAGGCGTCTTGAATGAAAGTGTCATATTGACGTATTTTTTACTCCATTCTATACTGAAGGGATCACAATGCCACAGAGACACAAACTAATTTGTTTTTACAAATAGAGAGAGAGAGAGAGAGAGAGAGAGAGAGAGAGAGAGAGAGAGAGAGAGAGAGAGAGAGAGAGAGGGGTGCTAAAGATTTTCATTTATCAAATATGCAATTAAAAGGTGGACGACTTTTTTTTCTGACAGCAAGAAAATAATTTTTAGGATGGTTATGTTGCTGTTCCTTATTGCACCTCAACGTAGTGCAGACTGGAGGAAAGGGGCTTCCCTAACTCCAAATGATGGAGTCCGAGTCTCACCAAAGTCACAGTTCGCCAAGACAAATTTTGCACCAACATTGTTTGTTTGCGAAAGCTTGAGAGTTTCTAGCTGGATATTTAATTTTAGAAAGAAATAACAGCGGAGAAAATTTTCAAAAAATTGTGCGGACTTGAGTGAGACTCGAACCCGCAGCGGACGGGTGAAAAGTGAGAGCGGAAGGCACGCTCATCGCCGGGGGCCGCGCAGGACCTTCTCGGCGCGGATGGAGGCGGGCAGGCGCACGCCGGCCTGCTTGAGCTGCTGCACAGTGCAGCAGACGACGAGTCCCTTCCGCACCTCGCCCAGCAGGTCCGTGGGCCAGCCGTGCTCGGCGCACCGGTCCTCGCAGAGGTGCGACGCGGACCGATCGCGGCCCGTCAGGGTGGGGTTGTTGGCCACGGCCAGCGCGATGCCGCTCTTGGTGGCCGGGTCGTAGATGACCTGCGGGAGGAAAAGGAGGGCGTCCGAGGGGTGTGATCGCTGCAGGCTCATTCCGAGAGTCGTTTCCGTCGCTCTCTCACTCACGGTGTGGCTTGCATGGGTGCGGGAGAGACAGAACGACAAAAACGACTCTCAGAATCTGTCTGCAAGGGGTGAAAAACGGGACTCCCCCGCACAGTGGGGCAGAAGACCGGTGGAGGCGGCCAAAATTCTAGACGCGTTTTGAGCTCCAGTGTCGCTAAATGAGACTCGAACCGAACGTGTGACCCCGACTGATCTCCGATCCAGGAATTCATTAGTGGGATCACACGCTCGGTTCGAGTCCTGTTTAGCGACTCTGGAGCTCAAAACGCGCCGAGAGTTTCGGCTGCCCGCCGGTCTTCTCACCCCCTGTGCCTCGGAGCGCACAGCTAGTTGCATGTCTTCCAGGCGCTTCAAGCTGAAGGCTGAAGCTACACGTGGTATGCGTACCTTCCATATGTGCTCCGGGACAGGGATCTTCCGCTTGAGCGGTTCCAGGTAGATGGCCACCTTCTTGCCGTCCCCGTTGGTGAGCGTCAACACCCCGTGCGTGCCCGTGTACACCATGAGGTCGGCCTGCATCTGCAGCAGGTGGACAGGAAGAAGATGACTCGGTGTGCCCTGTGTGTCTCTCTCGCACTCATGGGGCGTCTCGTGGAGGTACGAGAGAGACAGCGTCGGGATCAGTCTGGGGACGATGTCGGCGCGAGAGGGAGAGAGAATAAGTGGTCCTACCTGCGATGCGACCTTCCGGGCCAGGTTCTCCACCACCTTCCAGTGGCCGCCGTTGATGGAGGAGAACTGCGGCGCGACGTTGGCGTAGAAGTAGGTGGCCCACTGGTGGGGCGCCCAGAGGAAGTCGCCGTCGGGGCTGAGGTGGCCGCGCACCAGCGGCGACACGTCCAACACCTCCTTGGCGCGCCTCGTGCCCAGCAGCTGCATCAGGGTGGCCTGCTGCCGGCTCTGCAAATGTGGAGACGGCCGAGAACGAGTTCAAAACGTGCGGGCGTGGCGGCGACTCGACGACTCGTCGCAGTGGATTTGCCAGAAAACCGGCGCCGGCGGACAAAACTCTGGACGCGTTTTGAGCTCCAGAGTCGCTGAACAGGACTCGAACCGCACGAGTGACCCCCACAAATGGATCCCTCATGTGGAGAGCAATCCATTGGCGGGGTCACGCGTTCGCTTCGAGTCCCATTTAGCGACTCTGGTGCTCAAAACGCGTGTAGAGTTTTGGCCGCCGGCGCCGCTCTTCTGGCAAATCCACTGTGCTGCACGCTGCACCTACCTTCTTGTAGGCGTCGTCCGGGCTATAGCCAGCGTACAGGTCACTGAGCCCCTGGTGGAAGGCGGGCCGCTTGGACTCGTCCTGCGCCGCGTCGATGGCGCCGCCGTGCAGCTTGTGCGCTGCGTACAGTGTGGCGCCCAGGTCCACGTTGTGGCAGACGCCGAAGAGCGGCACGAAGCCCACGCCGCTCACGTTGAAGCCCACGTTGAACCACCGGCCGCCCTCGCCACACTTGCTGCCCTAACCAGTAGCCACCAACGACACGTCATCTTTTTGCCCTTCTGGCGCCGAAATTCGCAAAATTCGGACGTCGACGCCGGGCGCCTGCAGACCGATTCCAAGCACTGCACAGCGTTGCCAGAGGACCGGTGGAGGCGTTTAAAAGCCCTGACGGGTCTTGAGCTCCTGAGTCGCTAAATGGGACTCGAACCGAAGGTGGCACCACCAATAGATTGCTCTCCGAATGAGGAATCCATTGGTGGGGTCACACGTTCGGTTCGAGTCCTGTTTAGACACTCTGGAGCTCAAAACACGTCGAGAATTTTGGCCGCCTCTTCCGGCTTACTGAGCACTGCTCTCCACAGTCTGTCTCTCTCGCACTCATGGAGCTTCCCTGGGAATGCGAGAGAGACAGGCCGACCACAGCGTTGCTCGGAATCAGTCTGCTGGGTCGGCACTGCCACGGCACTGCCACGGCACTGCCGCGGTAGGTACTCACCGGTCTGAGCTCGGCCTGGGCGGGCTTCTTGCACGTCAGGTCGCGGCTGTTGATGGCCTTGGGGATGGGGGACGCCACGGCGCGGAGGGCGCCCGCGTCGCACTCCAGGACGCCGTGCTGCTGGGTGATGCCGATCACCTGCGATTCGAGGCACAGTCAGAGAGGCCTTCTCTACACATACTTTTCCGATCCGGATGCGGCGAGGGAAACAACTATAGACTCCTCCCAGCAAAAGAAGCTTATCTTTAACCTAGTGGACAAGGTAGGCCTTTTGCTGCGAGGCGTCGACTTGGAAGTCAACTTTTCACGACTTTTGACGTCTTGGAGGAAGTTTGCAGACACCGAGGCACAGGCCGCAGAAGGCCAAAATTCTAGACGCGTTTTGAGCTCCAGTGCCGCTAAATGGGATTCGAACCGATCGTGTGACCCCACCAACGGATTGCTCTCTGAACGTGGAATCCATTGGTGGGGTCACACGTTCGGTTCGAGTCCCATTTAGCGACTCTGGAGCTCAAAACGCGTCAAAACGCGTCTCGAGTTTTGGCCGCCGGTGCCGGTCGTGGCCTGGTCGTGGCCCACGGTGCGAGCACGGTGCGAGTGACTCCTACCTGGTTGCGCGACCCCGGGCACGAGGCGACGAAGCTCTGCCCCCTGTCCAGGTGCAGCACCTTGCTCCTGTTGTTGCGGACGGGCAGCAGCCACGAGGGCGGCCGACTCCGGTTGTTGACGAGCAGCGCGGTGCTGCGACCCGTGAAGCCGCCGTCCACGTTCAGCGAGCAGCCTGCGAGGGGCAGTGGAACGGTGCAGAAGCATTGGAGCAGCGGAACAGTGGAGTAGTAGAGCAGCGGAACACTGGGGGAGTTGAACAGTGGAGCGGAGGAACAGGGGAACAGAGGAACAATTGAGTAGGAGAACAGCGCAACAGTGGAACAGAGGAGCAATGGAACATTGGAGTAGTGAACAGTGTATCAGTCGGTAACAGTGGAGCATAGGGACAGTGCACCAGCGGAAGAGAGGAACAGTGCAGCGAAACTTAAAAAATAAAAAACACTCGGAAACACCCGTTCTTCGGTCGTCGCGTGTGTCGTCTGGCGGATCTGGCGGCGGCGAGCGCCTTACGAGCGGCGGGTAGGCAGCCCGCCACGCCCCGCCGCTCGACAGGCGCGTCCACCGGCCGGGCGCTTCGCTCGCAGCGCTTCACGCCGAGCCGCCACCCGCACCGCTACTTTTCCCTTGCTTTCGAGCTCGGAGCCAACGCCAGGGTGTCCCGGGGAAACTCTTCGACGGCGCCAACCACGAACGCCTTGCCAACCAAGATCCAAGAAGTAAGAAACGGGCCAAGTTTCAGTGAGACTTTTTGCCGGAGAGCGAGCGTTCCACGCGCCTTGTGCGACCGCTGTCGAGTCCAGGCTTTTGTGCGCCAGGGTCCGTCGGAGGGGGGATGTGGGGGGGGGGGCACTACTAGGACCGCGCAAGGACCTCGCGGCGATATCAACAGCTAGAGCTGCCCAGCCCAATGTTGTGAGGAGGGCCGCTGTTGTCCAGTGTAGCGCGGCGGCACAGCCCGGCACAGCCCTGCACAGCCCTGCCAGGACCAAGCCTTTGTCCCGGGTCGTCGTTCGCGTCCCTGCGGCCAAACGTCAAAATAAACCGAAATAAACCGAAAAGCGATCGAGAACGCCAAATGACGCTGCGCACCATTCCAAGGCAGTCCGAAAGTCTGTCGCGTGTCAAAAATGTCACGACAGTTTCGAGCCAGTGTCACGGCTTTCCGCCCGGGCGGGTAGAGCTTCGTTCAGGTGCTGTAGCCACGGTGCACAGTGGGCCAGGGGACCGACGCCGGCGGCCAACACTCGAGACGCGCTTTGAGCTCCAGAGTCCCTAAACAGGACTCGAACCGAGCGTGTGACCCCACCAATGGCTTCCTCGTTCGGGGAGCAATCCATTGGTGGGGTCACACGATCGGTTCGAGTCCCATTCAGCGACTCTGGAGCTCAAAACGCGTCCGGATTTTCGGCCGCCTGCGCCGGCCTCCGGGCCCGCTGTGCGGTGCGCTTCACCATCCGTCTAATTTTACAGACAGCTGCCGTGGCGCTGCCACCGTCTGCAGTATCCGAAACGGTCGGAAGTGTACCGGGCAGCTCTACGCCTCATGCTCCAGCAGGCCCCGCGACGCCCCACGGCCCCGCGGCCCCACGGGCCCCACCGGGGGACCAACTTAACTCATCTCGGTCCGGGCCCGGCCAGCCCGGCCGGCCCGGCCGGGACAACGCGACTGTACACACGGCGACCGTCGTCGCGGAGCTCGTCCAGCTCGTCCAGCTCGTCGCGAAGGCTCTGCTCCGCTGTGCTCCGCTCAGCTCCCCTTTCCCCGTGACGCGGCTGGCGCGGCTGGCGCGACGCGACCAGTAGACTCACTCCGAAGAGTCGCCCTGTCTCTCTCGCGCCCGCGCGAAACGCCCCGCGCGCGAGAGAGAGACACGGCGACTCTTTGGAGCCGGCCTGCAGGCCCAGGATATGACGCGGCTCCGCCGTGGCTCCGCGGAGGCCCTGGCAGCCCGCCGCACTTGCCGTCCAGCTCGCCGTCCAGCTCGCCGCGCCGCACAGTGGATTTGCCAGAAGACCGGTGGATGCGGCTGAAACTCCAGACGCGTTTTGAGCTCTTGAGTCGCCAAACAGGACTCGTACGGAACGTGTGACCCCATCCATGGATTCCTCGTTCGGAGAGCAATCCATTGGTGGGGTCACACGTTCGGTTCGAGTCCCATTTAACGACTCTGGAGCTCAAAACGGGTCCCGTAGTTTGACCGCCTCCACCGGTCTTCTGGCACACTGTGGGCCGGAGGCGCTAGTACGGCCTGCGACCCGCACGCCGGCCGTGCGGCGCCGCGCGGCCTCAGTGTGGCCGATGCGCCAAGGCCGGCCCAATAAGTACGTGGCGGCGGTGATCGAAGTTCACGGCCGACTTGAAATACCCGGGGAGGTACTTGTTGCCCCGGCCCGGCCCTGCGGACTGATTCCGAGCACGTCGCTCTGCCTCACTCGCACCTATGCGAGGCGCCCTATGAGTGGGAGAGAGACGAGAGCAGTGTTCGGAATCAGCCTGCTGTGGAGTGCGGGCTGCGGGCTTCCCCCAAAGCGCTCGGGTAAATATTGGAGCCCTAAGCACACACCCCCTTCGCTGCTTATCCAGGGGCGGCTTGAGGGGAGAGGGAGGAGGGCATGGACGCACCCATCTCCACGGTGGCACCCACCGCCCACCGCCCTCTGCGCTGCCGGCAGGGCCAGGGCAGGGCCAGCGCAGGGCAAGGAGGTCGCCCCTGAAGTATCCGTTGACTCCTGCCGGCCTTGCAGGGACCAATGGGACGGGGCAGCCGGGGGCGAGGGCCATGGGCGGCCGTGGGGGCACGGGTCACGGACGGTCTTGCTGGGCATCGTGGACTCCGCCATGAACCCCCCCATGGACCCGGCCACACAGTGGGCCAGAGGATCGGTAGAGGCGGCCAAAACTTGGACGTGTTTTGAGTTCCATAGCCGCTGAATGAGACTCGAACCGCACGTGTGACCCCACCAATGGATTGCTCTCCGAAAGAGGAATCTATTGTTGGGGTCACACGTTAGGTTCGAGTCCTGCTTAGCAACTCTGGAGCTCAAATCACGTCTAGAGTTTTGTCCGCCTCCACCGGTCATCTGGCCCACTGTGCGCCATGGACGCGCTCCCTTAGGACCGTCCTACCGCCCTTGACCTTGGCCCGCTGAGTTTGGTTCGAACCGCAGCGCGCCGCCTGCCTCTCGGCACGCCGGGGCACGCCGGGCAAGACAGCACGCGCTCGGGCACAACAAGAAAGAACACGGGCAGGCTGACGACCAGCGACGCGGGCGGACAGGACAGACAGCCAGACGAACAGCCGGACGGACGGACGGACAGACGGACGGAATGGCGGCCGACAGGTAGTGACCTCATCGCAAGTTGTAATCAGTGGCGCATGCAGGCGCCCCATTCCGCGGGGTCGCGTCTCATCGCCCTGTCTCTCTCGCGCTTATGGGGCGCTCGGTAGGGGTGTGAGAGGCGGGGAGATTCCGCGGACGGTCACAGGCGGGGAGGGGCAGGGGGTTGTTGTCCTCCTCGGTGCGTCCGGAGTGGATTTAAATACCACGCACACAATGCGTGTGAGCACTGCACTGGAACACGCGCGTCGGCTCCGTCGCACCCTTCGGACACTGGCGAACGAGCTGGCGAACTGCCCCCGGGACACCCGAGACGCGCACTCATTCGTACCTCCCGCGGTGCTGGCGTCGAGCGACCTCGCGAGGGCGCCGTGCGAGGCCATGAGCAGCAGTACGGCGACGACGCCCTGGACGCCCTGGACGCTCTCGGCGAAGGTGAAGGTGGACCTCCTCATGGCTGGCGAGTGGACGCTGTGGACGCTGCCGACGGCCGACGCCTTGGACTCGGCGTGCTGCGAGTGCTCGGCGTGCGCGGCGTGCTCGGCGCGGATCGTCCGTGACGCTCGGCGCTGCCCGTCAACGTCGTGCTGTTCTGGACCTCCGCGACGCGACTGGCTACAGCGCACCAAGAAGCTGCCTAGCCGCCGGCTCGCTTGCGAAGGCTTGCGAAGGCTCCCGCAGGCCGACTGTGCTTTCGTCGCTCTGTCTCGCTCGCACTCTCGTGGCGTCCGGCACCGGTCGGCACCGGTCCGGCAGGCGTGCGAGAGAGGCAGAGAGACACAGCGACGAAGCGCGGCTCGGAATCAGCTCGCAGGCTCCAGGCCTCCCCCTCCCCGCCTCCCTCTTTTCCTGGAGGCCCTCGCCCTCGGAAACGATTAGCCCCGAAATGCCTCACCTTTCTTCGTGGAAATGAGACACTCAGCCTCTTTCCCTCGGACTCGTTCCTGCAAGCCGAGGGCGACTCATCCTAATCGAACCAACGAAAACCCCACCCATTTCTAATCGGGACTTCCCTGAAAAATCGGCGCAATCAGTCCGGAGTATTTGAGCTTACAGAGGCGGACCTGTGGAATCTTCTGAAGGAAATGGGGTGAGAGGTGAAAGTTGTGCAGTGGCCTTGTCCAGGGCTCTCGAGAACGTGTTGATAATTGATAGTTAGAAAGCGTGAAATATCCACGTTTTATGCGACAAGAAGTTGACTGATTATGCTTACTTCCTACGCTTGTGGCGGACTTCGAAGGAGGTACAGTGCCCCTCACACACAGACACACAAAATAAGGTGGACCATAGGATGGAATCCAGAGGATGTGTGCTCAAGGATTCAACAAGGGCACAAAACACTGGGTACGTATATATGGGTTTTTTGAAACTCTTCAGCAGAAGTAACTTTGCACGCAGTCTAGCAAACACGAGAGCTAAGTACAAAAACAAAATATAACTGTAAACTCATTTTAGAAAGCAATCTTTTCCGAATAAAAAATGATTATATTTCAAAATATATTTTTAGAGCATCAGAATAAAAACAGCTGAGCAGCATTTGAAAGTTTTTGGATGCTTAATTTCATAAAAGAAGTTGTCTCCTTCAGCTTTTGTCTCAGCGTCGTGCAGTTTCATACACTGTATCCTTCTGCTGCTGCTGTGCCTCAGCAGCTGATTGATAACATAGGTTGGTTAGGCTCGTTACGCACTTGGACGGGATTTATTTACTGTTCGAGAAAAATGGTGCTCACCAACCAATTCAAGCTCCCAACAGAGGAGGAACTTACTGTTCCTGAACTCAATGTGACTGCTGCTGCGCTTGCCACGGGAGCTTTCCATTTGGGAAAGTACTGCGAAGAGCCCTGCAAAGTGAGTAAAAACTTGTTATTTTAATATATATCAGTCGCTATGAGCAGTTGTGGGTGTTTTTATGAGGTTGTCTGCTTCCTTTTCGTGAGTGCTGACTTACTTGTCATCAAGTCTGAATCCAATCCATCATAAAATACAGGATACCGTCTCTCGTAGAGAGGTTATGAGGACCTAGGTCACCGCCAGGGCACCAGACACACTTGTTTTATTTTTTTAATGTAAATAACAGCTTTTCGCTCTGTCACCCTTTTTAACAGTCTTAGAAGAGTTTTTAATAGTGTTTGAGGTGAGCACTAACGCATGTCAATGTTTCCCTCAAAGTCTGTCCTACTGTCACCTATCGACACGTACAAATTCTAGGTGTTTTGAAAGATGTGAGATATTGAGAAGTTTCTTTCCCTTCTCTATTAACTTCTATAATTTCAATCTATAATGGCGCCTAGTTTATGTAGATTGAGCTGATGAGATTTTTTTGTTGCAGGAATTTATCCTGTGTCGTGATGAGCTGGGAGATCCCAGGAAGTGTCTCGATGAAGGTAAAAAAGTAACTTCTTGTGGCATTGAGTTTTTCAAGAAGGTGAAAAAATCCTGCTTAGCTGAGTTCACTCAGTATCAAAAGTGCTTGATCAGTAGCAGCTCCAACTTCGAGTATGGACCGTAAGTGTTGAATTGGAAGTTACATTATTTCTCATAGCATTCTGGAATGAACCTTTTGCCATTGGTATTTACTGGTTCTACTTTTTGCTTCATAAGGTGCCGCAAAACACAAGAAGTGTTCAATGAATGTGTGAAGGCTCACATTGGCATTGACAGGCCACGACCAACTTATTTCTGTGAACCGAAGATTCATGACTCCAAACGACCCGCGCCAGCACTTCCTCAATATCCCAAGTATGATGATGCCACTCCTGGCCTTCCTCAAAATTATCCGAAGGACAAGATTTCCACTGAATCTACTCAAGGTGTCTTTGATGGAAATATTTGATGGAAATTAAGTCCTTGACAAAGTTTTGTGTCAGTCTTTTATTTAGAAGCATTGTAAATTGTTGATACATAAATGTGTAATATATGGTTTTCAGCTGGTTCTATTATGTTAATAGTTGTTTTTTTCTGACTCTTGTCATAAGATGATTAGTTACAATTTGTCTGGTCTGAATTATTTAAAATGATAATAAGACAAAATCCAAGAAATAAGAGTATAATTTGAAAAATACCTGCATTTTCATAACTACATACATTGCATTTTAAGTGAGGTGCAAAGCGATACCCCCTATCTACAACCGCTCAACTCTGCAGGGATTCCTATGCTGGTAAGCGGTTGTAGATAGGGGGTATCGAGGATGAAAAGGGGAATAATTTTTCAATGGTATTAAAGACATTTTTTTAAAATATGGAATTAACACTGAATACACTTGTCACATAGTAGGATGAATCCAAACAGATTGGCTCGGAGGAAAATGTATTGAGGTCATTTCAACAGAGACCATTTTAATTGCTCTTTGGCTGATTGTAGTACCTAAGGAAGAAAAGCAACAACATACCATTCAAATAAGAAAAGTTTCATTCAACCTTAGTTTGGTGCTAAAGTAAGAGCAATGCCTACCTGAGCAACTGTCTGTTCACCCAGTGGTATGTCATCTGTTCTTAGTGCAACCCTTTGAAGAACAGCCTTGAAGTCTGCCTCCATAATGATGCTGCGAACACAGAAAATTGTATAGTGGAAACATAAAAACAGATACACTTTCATGACAACTTGAATAGATTATAGTGAAGTCAACTCACCCTCCATCACAAATTTCATCCATAGCAAGCATCACAATGTCCAAATTTTCAAACAGTGTTCGCTTTTCAACATTTTTCCTAAGAATATTACTAACAGAATCGTAGAGGCAATTGAGAGCCGTCATCAATATCAACTGAAATAAAATGAGAGGGTTTAAGTAAATTGTCCCCTAAACTGGGAAAGTCTGATATGAATTGAAAAACAACTTCTGTCATTACCTCATTTTCATGCGAACTTCCCATTACGTAAAAGAAAAGGTCAACATTGCTGTAATAAACACAGGTCAAGCCATCAAGCATGATGATCTCTGCATTGGAACGATGGGTCTTATTGAAGAGATTTTTCTCAAATGCCTTTTGTTCTTTTGCAGTAGGAAATATATTTTTATCATAATACTTTGCAAGAACACGGTGGCCATCGTTGTCCAAAATTACCATGCCTTTGATGACGTACAACGTTGGTTCCTGAAAAAGACAAGATCAAACACATAGTTCCACTTGAATTCTATTGAAATTAAAAAGGGTTTACATCACCATCGTAAAACCTTAACAGCGAATCAACGAATCTTATTGAATGTGACAAATACTTTTGACATATGAATTTGCAAGGCCTTAACCTAAGATTTTAGATAAACACGAAACATTTAAAGTGAGTAGGGAAGAAAAAGACGAAAAATATTCATGGGCAACTGAAATTGACATACCAACAAAGATCCTTCCATTTTTCACAAGAGCCGTACGCCAAGTTTTATCAGAAAATTAATCGTAATGCCTACTGCTAGAGCGACACATCAACACAACAGAGCCACCAACTTCTCAGCGCGAAAGGTCCCTTTCTCCATTGCCAGTGGTGCCACCAGGAGAAAACGTCTCATACTCTTTGTTATTATTACGCTTAAAAATGAAATGGTAAAATTTTGTGCAAAACGGTGTAACTAAATCATAGAAAACCTATTAGTATCCCAGCCTTAATGCCTTGGGTGGAATATGCTCCCAGTCATCAGCAGGAACCTTTTGTTTTCACCAACCCTTTTTTTCGTCTGTCTGTTTATGAAAAGTACCATGTTGGTTCTGTAGGTTATGTTAGGATATAAATTTGTATTTTAAGTCGTTTCCATGTTTAATTCTTTATGGGCTACGTTATGTTTGCTTATTTGTGATACCTGTTTAGTGTGCTGCATTGGTCCTTGTCCGTTGTTCATTCAACTTTTTAATTTCGGCTAAAGTATTTTCACTATTATAAAATGGCAAAAATTGTGAAAATTTTTGAAACTTTGCGCAATAACTGGAAGAAATCGGTGTTTGGAACAGTTGCCCTCGTCTATGGAGTGGATTACTTAATGTATTCCTATGAGTGAGTAATTACACCTAGCTTTCCTGTGTTAGGGGTTCAATCCTCATTTTCTACCATTTAATTTTTTTGATCTTGATGGTCAAAACTTTTAACCAAACTGCACTGATCCTTTTTCGTTTTGACTCTGTCATGCAGATCCCGTCAAATGATGAGAGCCTACTGTGAGGCAGCTAGAGAGATCGGAGAAGCTCCGATGCCAGTGGATTGTAGACCCCGCCACATCACTGTTATTCTCAATCCAGCCGCCAACAAGCGGTAAGGTGCAACAGACTGTTCAATCAATAAGAGGAGGAAAAAGATCAAAACCTGTGGGCACTTCTATAATTTGTAGTTCTAACAATCTGGTAATTTTGTTTCAGAAAAGCAAAAAAAGAGTTTGAAGAGTATTGCGCTCCTTTATTGTACCTTGCAGGATTGAGTGTCAATGTAGTAGTTACGGGGAAAGAAGGTCAAGCAAGAACATTAATTGAGAAATTAGAGGAAGCAACAGATGCCATTGTCGTGGCAGGTGGTGATGGGACTCTATCCGAGGTTCGTTTGCAACCTGCCCTCATGCTTTCCATTTCCTGTACTTTAGATTTACTCTCTCTGTTTACTTTCCAGGCAGTCACAGGTTTGTTAAGAAGAGAAGATGGAACCAACGTCGCAAGAAAAATGCCGTTGGGTGTTTTGCCGGTTGGCAAGACCAATTCCATAGCTAAACACCTGTTTTCTCAGAGTGCTGATGACCGCATTAAGCTTCTTGCTGAGGCAACAATGGCAGTTATTCTTGAAGCTTCCAAACCATTGGATGTTATCAAGTTCCAAGTTCTCCCTGTGAGTCTCTGGCATTGTAGCAGTTTTCATCTTCTCTTTTACCAATATTTTTTTGACACATAGAATGAATGGCATATTTCATTTCTAATTGCAGACAGACGGTAATGAAGGCGGGAAGCCTGTGTACGGCCTAGCTGGCTTGGAATGGGGTGCCTTTAGGGATACTAACGCCCGACGAGACAAGTATTGGTACTTTGGAGGTCTCCGGGGCTACGCTGCATACATTTTTGCAGGTTTCAAGGTATTGTTGTTCAGTCATTCTCAAGTTAATGAAAAGTACAAGCCCTCTGGTTTTTAATTGCCTCCCCTTTTTCTAGGGTGAGAAAACTATCACATGGAATGTTCAGGCCAATATGGAATATAGTCCACCGTGTAATGGCTGTTCCAACTGCTATGAACAGAGACTAGACCTGCATCCAGATCAAGCTCAAAGTAAATCCTGGTGGAGTGCATTTGGAAAAAGGCAGCCAGGTTTGTGTACATCCTGTGTGTTCCCATCAAAAATATGCCATCACTTTCTTTCTTAATAATTAACATGCCCTTTTAGGATCTGTGGTTCCTACTGTTGACTATAGAGGAAAAGTAAATGAAGACTGCCGCACAGTTCGTAAGTTGGATGTTGCTACTTCAGACTTTTCCCTTATTTCTTCAAATGTATCCAAGGAACACAACAAAGTGCCTCAGCTCCAGGTATCTTTTGGTTAGTATGACAGTAGCTACTACACTGCTTTGATACAACAAATATCTTTGTAGCACATTTTCTAGGAACTATTGTGCTTTTAGGACCTGAACACGTAAGCTACAATGATTTTGTCAAAGAGGGATGGCGAAGAGAAAATGGTGAGGATCCATCAAGGCCTTGCAAAATTTTGGCCAAAGAAGTTAAACTTTGGCCAGTCCAAGCAGTGAAGCATCAAGACAATGCTACAGCTAGTTCTACACAGGACAATATTCCTACTGGTCCAAAGGTAGCTATTGCATTTTGAGCATCAAGGTCAGCTGAACTTTCCTAAATTTGTGCCCCACAACCTTGTGCAATAATAATTTGTCCATTTCCAGGATATAGAAAAATGGATTTCTATTGATAATGAAGACTATGAAGTTAAGGCAGTTCATGCTACACTACTGCCCAATCTTGTTAAAATGTTCTATTCCCCACATGTTATAATAAAGTGATATATTAATAGTTTGTTTTGTTCTTATTGAATAGGAGGACATAGTAAGAAAGCTTGATTCATTTTATTCTATAAAATGACAATTGGAGTACCATCTACGGCACTCAAGGGGACGGATAAGGGAATAAGGCACACAAATAAATACCCCTTCAGCTTTTGTATGGCAAGAGTTGGACACAAGGTAGAAAATTTAATACACAATATGAAATAAGCCCACAAAGATGTTCAGCTCAGTTTAAAGTTCAATCAAAATAACTCAAAGTTCTTGAACACATAATAATCAAAATCATTTAAGGCAAACAATTTGAATTGGTTGGCTTGGCTCACAAATCTGTCCTTACAAAGAGATAATTGTTTAACACTTAAGAATTATATGGGTACTAACATTACAGTCGTACAGTAATCAACATTATCTTTGATCCCAAGGTGTCAAACTTATATCTGAAGGACATTTTAGCATAAGAAAACTTACACAAAAACAAGTTAGACACATTTACAATGAGCAGAGTCAATAAATCCTGAAGTTCAGCCATTATAATATTTCTCTTCAACAAGATTTTTATCATTAAAATTCAAAATTAATAATTGAGTAAAATATTTAAGTAAAAAGACAGCAGAAAGTATGGACCCATCCTACTTCAAATAGGAACCAATCTATCAAAAAGAGTGAATTAATCTAAAACATATTTGTACTTTAAGAAAAAATATATTTTTTTAAAAATATAAGAGACAGTGAATCTCAAATGTGATAAAATGTGAACTTCCTCCCTTTTTAATAGCAACAGCACTTATGAGAATCTTAAACTAAAAGGCACACACAATCTTCCATTCTATAACACCTTGAGTCTTAAGAGAGAAAACAAGTTACATTCTAGCATTCAGAACATTTAGTATCCACAGATATTAAGTAAACAGTTCTGGGAGGGGAAAATACTGTGCATGGCCAGTCTTTCAAAGATGATGAAAAAGTGAAAGACAAGTTGAGAATCCACAGACAAACAATGTTTGTTTTACTCAGATGAAAAATCTTTAGAAATTTTGGTTAATCATCAGACCTTTCCTTCTTTCTCAACCTCTCTGGACACTGATGTGTCAGATAAGTACTACACTATGATTCATTCTAAGAGCAAAAAATGAACACAAGCAAATTTTATAAATATAAGTACAAAAGTTTTGTTCTTTGCAAAGATGAAGTTCCATGATTTAGTAATATCGATAGTCATGATTTAAGCTGTGCCTTGAAAATTGGCAGTACCCATAACCATTTTGTGTAATTTTAACTAAACAAACACATTTTAGGCAAAAGGAAAGTATAATAAATTTTCCAAGATGGAAAGAAGGGAGAACACTTACGGTATTATAATTTTATAATAAAGAGACTATCATTGGTCTCAAATTATAGTGCAGTGAGTGCAAAGAATTAATTTATAAGGGTGTACCACATAAAGCATCGACCAGAATGATCTAGTTTCCAATGGCAGAATGTAATACCATAGATGTAAAGGAAAAAAACTAAAAATGAAAACAATTCAGGGGAGCTTATGAATGCCCCATTGAATTGTGAATAAACCATGTTTGATGTATGCTCAGGATTCTTGATGGCAGTGCATTCAAACCAAACCAGCATCCTTTGCCATTGAATAAAATATTGAGGTTTTCTTATGTAATAAAGCATCTGGGGACTCATATTCAACCACTTTTCCTTGATCCAAAACAAGAACCCTGAAATTGAAAGAGAGAGGAAACATGAAGCTTAAAATATCTTCTAAATAAATGATATTAATCTATATGCCATTCTAAGAAAAGAAATTACCGGTCTGAGTCCATGATAGTGTTGAGTCTGTGTGCAATTGTTAAAATTGTGCACTCTTTGAACTCCTCCCTAATAGTTCTCTGAAAATGTAAAAAAAAAAAATTTTCTCAGAAGCCATAACAATTTCAAACAAATCCATTGACTGAAAAAAGGAGAATGTGACAGAGAGAAATAAAATCATAACAAGGTGTACCTGGATCAGATCATCCGTCTCAAGATCAACAGCAGCCGTTGCCTCATCGAGAATGAGAACTTTTGTTTTTCGCAACAGAGCACGTGCTAAGCAGATAAGTTGTCGCTGCCCAACACTGCAATGGATATAGAAGGAGAGTTAGACTGTAATTCATTAGTATGAAAGAAGAAACTGAAAAACACTTAAGTAGAAAGGCTCAAGCTGAAGCCCTACCTCAAATTCTCTCCTCCTTCATTTACTTCATGTTCCAGGCCAGCAGCCAGCCCCTTCACAAAAGTCTTTAGATGGGCATGTTCCAAAGCCCTCCAAACCTCTTCATCTTTGAAGGAACCAAATGGATCTAAATTTAGACGCAATGATCCAGAGAATAGGACTGGGTCTTGTGGAATGATGGTCAAGCGGGATCGCAAAGCATGCAGTCCCAACTTCGCAATGTCTACATCATCAATTGTAATTTTGCCACCAGCTGACTCAATGATTCGGAACAATGCAAGAGTCAGTGACGACTTTCCTGCACCAGTTCTTCCAACAATGCCCACCTAGGAAAGAGAGCAACCCAATATTATTTTGCAGAAGATCACAGAAAATTGGCACTAAGAATTAGTTGAGAGACCAGTTCACTTCCTTCTTTCCTTCCTCACCTTCTCTCCTCCTTTCACAGAGAAATTAATTCCCCTCAAAACAAGGTCAAGACCTTCCCGGTAACGTACTTCAAAGTCCTTGAATTCAACTTTGCCTTCTCGAGGCCAGTTTGCCTCAACCACAGTAGTGGTATTTTCCCAAGCTGCCTCCTGAAAACAATAAGTGTGGTATGGTCTTTTTAGCACTCATTTAGAATTATCTCATATAACACACTCCTCATTCAACACACACCTGAGGTGTTTCACCATACTCCTTGATTCTCTCAACAGCAACAATGTTAGTTTCAACATCTGATGTCATTCGTACCAACCAGTTGAGTGTTTGAGTGATCTGAAGACAGCCAAACATGACACACATTTAGAAAAAAAAATGACAGGTACAATAAAGGACAATATATTACAAATGCTGAGATTAATGATCACCTGAAGTGCATAACTGATAGACAAGCCCACAAGTCCAGCACTAATGGATTCACGACCCAAGACAGCAAAAAGGGCAGCGAAGAATATGATCAGGTTTCCAACCATTTCAAGACGTACAGCGAGCCACCTACAACAAAACATGATGATTTTTAAGCTATGAAGAGTTTTAATCTTACGGGTTTTAATTATACGGTAAAAGGTCATACAACCCAACAAAACACAGCTTAGAACTTGAGGCAGAGAGAAGGGCAATGGTTATATGATTTACCTATTGGCAATGATGCTGGGGAAGAAGCAGACTTGATTAAAGTCGACTTTCTCCTCGGACTCATTAACAAATCTATTGACAACATTGTAGGCTCGAATAGAAGGGGCACCTTGAGATAAGAAAAATGAATGATTACTGAAGTACATTTAAAATTGCATAGTTTTTATTATTAATACAGAACTATCAATGACACCTCACCTGTGATACTTTCACCAAAATGAGAGTAGATGGGAGATCTTGAAACTGATTCCAGTCGTTTCAACTGCCTAGATGTTGCTACATAAAAGCGCTAAGAGAAATGATGGAGAGAATGTTAGATCCACAGTTTTTCAAAAAGTACTTTCCTTCAACAACATTAAAAAGAAAAAAGAGAACTCGATTTAATTAACACACCTGAACAAAGTAATAAAGAAGGCCAACAGGCAAAATCACAGCAATAAATTCTGGTGTGCTGTAACTGATGACAACTAGTGTTGCTATTACCTGTAAAATTAAATTAGAATCTATAGTTTCATTTGACATAAAAATGTTATGTATATCAATTCTTATTTTCAAATAACATTTAAAGAATTTAAAAAATAGTGTTAAAATTATGCAAAATAACGAGCAAAATTTATACAAACAAACTACAACAAAAACTACATAAACACAGAATTTAGTAAGAAGAAAAGTACAACTAGATACAAGAAGCATGACAACCACAACACGAAACTGAACTACTGAAGCAAATTTACAAGAGCGAAAAGAAAGCATGCATCATCTAATGTGCAAATGACACGCATGATATTTTAGTAATTAAGTATTAAGACAAATTACTCCCTCCCCACCAATTTACTGAGCAGATAATAGCATGAGTGGATGGAACCTTTTTAAAACCAATAATTCACTAATCCTTCAATGGTCAGAACAGATGAGATATGGGGTGGGTTCTAACAAAGTTGTAACAAGACGAACATTCTCGCAAACATTGCATGCAGAAGTGGTAGGAGTAAAATAATATGCTTTGAGCAAATGATGACAACTTAATGTAAATGAAAGATGTATGGGACATAGGGGCTTCCTTTACAGGCAACAGGTTTGCTTTTCACCAACATTGAAAGACAACAACTTTAAAACGTTGCAGACAGAAATTTCTGATGAGAAGACATGCTGAATATACGATAAGATTTGTAAATATACTGTCCAACCAATAAACTTACTCACAGCTAACCCTTGCCAAGGGCATGAAAGATAAACATACCTCTACTGAGCACCATATTGTGTCTATTATTTGGGCTCGAAGACAATTGTCCAAAATATCAATATCTCTTGAAAAAGTAGATAGGATGCGCCCTATGGGCGTAGTATCAAAAAAAGACAAGGGCTTGTGGAAAATATTTAGGAATTCATTATGCAATTTCTGAGCCGCTATAAGGCATCCTAATGAAGGCACTACTTCTATTGAGATTGTGAATAGAGCTGCAAAAATAAGTGCAGCTTGCCTATAACCACCCTGCTAGTCACAGACTAACTTGTAACAGGCTGAAAAATTTCCTAAACATTAGATAATTATGAAAAAGGGATAAAAAATTGAATCAACATAACAGCAGACAAGTGAAATTGGCACACTTACATGCAAAGAAGTGGCAAACATATTCAATACAGATTTGAAAGCATTATGAAGACAGCAGACCACCACCATATTACAGTACAAAGTAGAAACAGAACACATCAAAACTTGGCCCATATTCTCTTTACTTTCTTTGGGGAGGCTCAATTTTGAAATAAAAGGTAGTATCTAAGAACTTCAAATGGCCTTATTAGGATCCAAACTATGACATCGTTTTGGAAAAAGCAGAACCAACAGAATGATTTACCAAAGCAAGAGAAAAGCAAACCCACAGAACGACAAATTTACCTCAAAAAGACAGTATATTGTATCCGATATGTTCTGAGGCAAAGAATTGTCTAGAACATCAACATCTTTTCCAAAGCGTTGCAGAATTCTGCCAGTTGGAGTTGTGTCAAAAAATGAGAGTGAAGCATGAAAAATGCCTCCTAACAGAACCATATGTAATTTCTTACATGCTCGCACACATCCAAGGCGAGGAACAGATTCAGTCATGAGAACACCTAGGCCTGATAACATTAAGTAAAATGTACCAACATTAATACACACACTCCAGTTTCTAAAACTTTGGCAATACATTTCTCATTAAACAGAAAAGGAACCAAAGTTGAAGTTTCAGCTTTACTTGGAATGATTTCAAACTGAAAAGCAAAGTGCCTAACAAAAATGGGTCTCAGGAAAAATGATCTCAGGAAAAATGATCTCAGGCACAAAATGAAACCTCAGCATTTTTAAAACTTAACAGTATGCCTTTTTCTTTAGACAAGGAGAAGAAGGGGGCACGGATTGACTACCAAACATCAATTACAATTACAATTTGTTGAACAGGATTTAACAGTATGTAAAGCCTGAAGAACTGTGCTAACAAAGAAAAGGCACAGAGAACAGGGCATTTCATTGACAAACACTTCATTTGATCAATATTCATTTAGCTTAGAAAAATATTTTTTTTTAAATCGAAATTTCGAATATAAAGCTAATTAATTTGTTTTAATTGTATAAAACTTGTATGAGAGATTACGGAAACATTCAATGGTTCTTGGAAACAAGGTATCAGGCCCATGATGATGTCCTTTAGGTCAAAAATTGACAGAAGACCCAACCACCAACTAAATGAAAGATTCAATTGGGTTGTTCTGAAGTAAGTAATAATGCAGCAATACATGTTTGTGCAAGGTCACATGAATTAATAAAGTCATTCACATGAAACAAACCTAGGGAGCTCTGTCAAAATGCTCAATTGAACATAAGCTGAAGAGAACACAGACATTCTATCACACTCGTGGCAACATAGAATTTAGTTCACAATATACAATCTGGTTTTTGATTGATTATTGAAGCTGTATCAAACATGACAAAATTCATTCAAAAACAACTAGCACCATCACCAAGATTACACTAATGAGATGGAGGCATGAAGGTGATGGAAAGAAGCATTAGGAAAGAGGAAAAGAGTAACCATAAAATCATGCAATGACATAAAAAGCCCATCTAAATTTTAAAAGTAAAGTTATTTTGGTACCCTGAAGAAGCCAGGGAGAAACATCTGAATGATTCCTGGCATCGCCAAATCCAGGGTGTTGACATCAGTAGAGAAACGGCTTAGGATACGGCCAATAGGTGTAACATCAAAGAACATCATGGGGAGGCGGATGATAGTTTGGAGTAAATGATGGTGCAAAATAGTGGCTGCATTTATAGTTCCAATACTTAAAGTGATGCTTGAGAAGCAAACAGAAAGCACTGCAACATTCAAATAATTTTTTGTCAACGTTTTGGACAAGGTACAACAACAACAATGGCTTTAAGAAACAACATATGCACCATGACATGACAAGACAAAAGTAAGGGAGAAGATCGTTTCAAAATCATTTATGGACAAGGGTTTCTATTTTTCAATTCTTGATCTGGGTTCCAAGAAGCTTTAAGCAGACTGACACACATGGTACAAATTGTTGTATCCTATAATCTTCCCCAGTGTTCATTTTATGCAACACCTGTGTGATGCCTTTTAGGGTAATACTGTGCAACAAGAAAAATGATGGCCAGATATGGTAAACAAATGGACTAAAAATGCTCAGATGATTCCACACATCACAACAAGCTCAACTCTATAAATACAAAAGCTTCCATAGATTTCTGAAAATACAAAATTGGTTTATCTCCTTTGACTCACTGGATAGAATTTAGAAAGTAGGATACAAATGAGACCTATGGAAGCTTTAGGTTGTCTAGTTTCACAACACATGTGCCTGAGGTAGGAGGACTACTCATAAAGTTACATTGATTTCAACAAACCCTGAAAACCTCAAACAAGTTTCAAGACAAAAGGAGTAAAGGAGCCAAACAAACCAACTGGATACCATGATGTCTTCAGAACAATTGAAGGATCTAATGAATGCTACCTAGTGTCCCTAACATGCTTTATATTATCAACAGGATCAAAGGATCGCTCATAAACCATGTTATGAACATATGACCACATTTTGTAGACTGGATGTGTTAAATCCCTGACTGTCCGCCTGTATAAGGTTGACAGTCAATCCCGTCGTACGCGCGAAGCGGGGTGTGGCTCTTAGGAGCCGCATTCTGCGGACTAAGGGTCCCCAGTGTTGCCCATCAACCTCACCAAGTAACAGTGAGAGGCTCATGCTTGACGGAGCCGTTTGTTGAACGTCCATCCTTAAACCTTAGAGCCGCATAATAATGGTGGAGACACCACCCCTCCCCATCCCTTTGCTTTTTCAGATTACATGATACGGTTTATGAACGTTCCTCAACCAGAACTTAAGTTCATAGATAAACTATAGGTTGTAGGGACCAGCTGGATTGTATTTTTTATAAAACTTTGCTGGAAAAGCAGGGCAAAAGCATCGGAAACTCCTTCACGCTAAATAGAAAGAGAGAGAGAGAGGATATTAAGGAAGATGGTAAATTAAAGAAGCACAGGGAGCACGCAACACCCATGCGGATGAAAGGATCTCTAGCTAACAATTTAACCCGCAACCTGAAATATGTTGTTGATAGTGCCGAATCACAGAATGGAAAACTTTTACTTGAAGACAAACAGTTTAACTAAAATACTTGCACCAAATATTTGATTCAAGTGATACAAAGAAATTAAATGGAAACAATAATAATGCGAAGTCTGTGTATCAGATAAATGATGGGGAAAGCTTCTGTTTTTGTTTTTTTTATTCTTCACTATTTTTTGGGGGACTCTACACAACTTTAGCCAATCAAAACTTCAGAAGAGTCAGATCAGTGAGATTCCTAGAATGAATTCTTTTTCTTGACTGTTACGTACCGAGAAGAAACAGTTAGCCCAGCCACGAAGAGTCATTGGCAAAACATTGTCCAAAGTATCTACATCTTTCGTCAAGCGGTTGAGAATTCGTCCCACAGGAGTAATATCAAAAAATGACACAGGTGTACGCATCACATTGTATAATATGTGTTGATGGAGGATTTTTGCAGCACTTAGAGTCCCAACAAAAGTTGTAAGTGATGCTAGCAACACTGTCACAACTGCAAGGCATTCCAAGGAAAACACAGTAAAACACACAGTCATCATGTAAATGAACAAACAAAATCCTTAACAAAACACAATTAGAACACTTAAACATTCCAGAAGCCTCTAAAAAGAGAGAAGGGTGAACACATCATTAATGCAACTACGGCTTGGTCTGTCTCTACAGAAGCTGCACTAATTGACATGGCTTTATCAGTTGTTGCAGTGAACCTTTCTTTTTAAAAACAGCAACTGTCAAAACTTAAAAAATTGAAAAGCAAAATATAGACTCTAAAAGTGCCTAAACATGCTTCATCATCCATCGAGTGTGAGTATCAAAAGCTAGAATATACAAATAGTCATGCCAAAATAAAATGTGAATAAAAAAGAAATCCACACTGAATTTCGAAAAGAGTAAGCCTTAATTTACCGAGAAGAGACAGTTAATCCAAGCACGTATTGAAACAGGTATTGAGTTATCTAGGACATCGACATCTTTGCCAAACCGGTTGATAATTCTACCAACTGGTGTTGTATCAAAGAAACTCATAGAGCATCGAAGTATGTTCTGCAGTAATTGTAAATGGAGGGTTGCGGCAGCACGAAGAGTACCCAAAGCAAGTGTCACTACACTGAATAACACCACAAATGCTGAAATACCAATAAAATAAACAGTTAAAAATCAATAAGACACCAACACACCAGAGGTCGATATGATTTGAATGGTCAGGCACAGGTACAAGTACATCACAAAACAGAAAGCCACACACCATATTGCTTGCTGACATGGACATGGTATTCTAAAAACAGCAGCATTGCTGACATTAAGTGAAAAGTACAGTATGACAAATATAAAAATGAAACAACACAGTTAACTTCACAAAGACAATAATTGATCTTAAGGAAAAGAACGACACTTGATCAAATATAAACAATTTTACAAAGGGTACACCCTGTATTATACAATGGTGTACTTCCTTTCCTTTAATTACCGTAAAGCCTGTGGTCAGCAAGCTCCGCAAATTTATAGGTAAAACATTGTCAACTGAATCAATATCGTTTGCAAACCTATTCAAAATGCGTCCTATTGGCGTCATGTCAAAGAAATGCATAGGATTCTTCATTATTCGGGAAAACATGTCGTTGTGAAGTCGGGTTGAGGAGCTAATGCAGCCCATGGCAAATGTAATGCCACAAACCATGAAGGCAAATGCTGCAAATACAATGTTACAAAATATCAATTTGGTAACAAGACTTAATGAAGTCATCTCAGCTTTCTTCTCTACTTAAGATTTTGATTTAATGAGAGAGAGATTTGAGCACTCCAATTGATGGTCAAAATATGAAATATAGAACAGCAAAGTTGAATTTCTTTTTTAAAAAGGAAAATAAAAATAAAAATAAAGATTTAAAAAAACAAAAACAAAAAAAAAAAACAACAAAAAAAACACATGTCAGCATGCTTAGACAAAGCTACAGAACTCAGATTGTTGATGCTCTCAGTGTGAACACTCCTCATCTAAAATGGTAAAAATTCAGGTTAAAACGACAAGAGGCAAATCCTTGAATGCTGAAATAAAACAAACTTCTTCAAAATTTACAATTACAATGAGATAGGATAAAACAGGACAACATTCTTACCTTGACCAAAGCCTAATGCTCCGTATACGCCTAAGTACATATCACGTTTTCCAGTATATTCTGATCCAGTCAGATTCTTCATTGAATCGTCACTGGACCAAACAGACAACCATACATTTGAACCAATAGAAAATCCCTGCCAAGAAAGGTTCAGTTACTCAAACTATTTGAAATCAAGTAGCAACAATGTAAGTTATGAAAATAAAGAATCATATTTACTTGGAAGATCATGTTGAGAATGATAGTGGCAACAGATAGGACCAAACCAATGCTTCTCAAATAGTGAGCATATACACGCCATTTAACCTGTAGACAGTACGGAGCAAAAGCAACATAAGTTTCAACTTAAATTGCCAGCAATGAGTGGTCACTAATTCGAAGCCAACTCACACTTCCAGTTTCAGCCTTCTCTGCCTCAATCAGTTTTTCTCCCTTAGCAGCATCCTGTTGAGGAGGAGTTGGTTCTTTGGGCTCACTACTGTGTCGGCGGCGGAGACCTTCACTTGATCCTGAACCAGCCCTGAAAGAAGTCAGGACTGTTAGAGCTTATTTTAAATAACAATAGGCTTGGTCTGAAAATCATGGAGAGCAAAATTACCTCTTAAGAGACCCAGTAAGTGATACTTTATCAGCATTAGATCCAGTATCGCTGTGGCTTTCAGATACTCGAGACTTCTGCCGGATGATTTCTTTTTTAAGCTCTTCTACACCTTGAATGCCTTCGAGCTGAGCCTTGATTTCGTCCAGATCTAAAAGACATTCAGCATAAAATATATTTTAAATTCAAACTACTTAGTAAAACAGAAAAAGGAAGGAACTGAATGATTCATACTTTCATCAACATCACCATCAGCAGACTTTTCCTGCAGGTGATGAAGGAGGAACTCTGCAAAAGCACCCTTCTTCTCCAAAAGTTCCTTGTAAGTACCAGTTTCAGACACTTCACCCTCTTTCAACACGACAATTAAATCCACTTCTGGCAGGAAAGTGATGCCATGAGTAACCAGAACACGAGTCTGTAAAAGAGCAAAAAACAACAACCTTATACAGTAGCACCTTATTTTGGTTAGACAATTTTGAAAACAATAAGAACTTATTCCATTCACCTTACTGCCATGAGTATAAGATAAGATAATTCAGAAAAACAGTATCATGACCCACCTTTTTCTTAAGTAAACCACTTGGTCCAATAACATTGTCAAAGATATGCTTTCCAACATGGCTATCCACAGCACTCAGAGGATCGTCAAGGAAATAAACTTCAGCATCATTGTAGACAGCTCTGGCCAAAGATACTCGTTGTTTCTGCCCACCACTTAGATTAATTCCCTGAGAGGAAATTTCATAACCATTTTAAACACAGTTAAGTAACAGTCAAAGAATCTCAGGACCTATGAACTGACTCACCTTCTCTCCAATTTCAGTTTGATCACCTCCAGGCAACATATCGAAGTCTGATTTCAAAGCACATGCATCAACAACTTTGACATAACGGCTGTTGTCAGCTGGTTGGCCAAATAAGATGTTATCCTTCAATGTAGCATTTTGAATCCATGCTTGCTGTGGTACATATGCAACTGTTCCCTAAAAAATCAAAATGAGCCAAACTGTTTGATAACTGTCCAAAAATTGAAAAGATGAGAAAGTACTATTGGACCTACCTTCGTGTTTACTCGTCCAGTTATTTTATCCATTTCTCCAAGCAGTGCAGATACCAGGGAGCTTTTACCAGACCCAACAGATCCAACAACAGCAACAAGACTTCCTTCATTCACCTTGAAATTGATGTTCTTTAAAGTAGCTGGCTCCTCTGGGCCCCATGAGAAGGTGCCATTTTCAATTACAAGAGGGGAGTCTAGAAACAAAACCACATAAACATATAGAAATGCTCAAGCAGAAAATACTTTAAGGAGCTTACCCAAATCTCACTCTCACCTTCCTTGTCGTCATGAGACACATTGCTTGGGTCCAGGTCCTCTGAGTTCATAAACTTATTAATTCTTTTAATGGATACGGATGCCTAAACCACAAAATAAAACAAGGCAATTTGTGAAAAATGATAAGCAAGCACTGCACTAAATATGTTTCATAATAATCATTCAAAACTGTTAATTTTAATGTGCAAAGCGAAGAGAGATATATCATCACCTCACTTGCATGACCAGATCCATTTCCCTTAACCGTCCCCAAATTCAATAAAAAAGCTTTGATAATAAGAAAAATACATTTCAGCTTAAAATTAATTGGCATTTATATAATGTAAGTGGGCAGTGAAAGCCCCTCATCCAATTAATGAGAAGCAGCAACTCCAGTATTGTTCCATGCTACCACCACCAAGGGGAAATGATCTGAGAGGAGAAGACTTGACTTAAACGATGATGCCAAATTGATATTCTGTGGCTTCTTCCTCTAAATAATACTGTATTGTTGAATAAAATAATTCCTTGTGGAAGACAAAACAATTGTACACTCTGTCTTACCTGAACTAAGTTTGAAATCATCATAGGTAGCATTGACAATGGAAACCGCAAAATATTGAAAAGTGAAAGAGACACGAATGCCTTTTCAGAGTCCAAAATGTTCTTCTCGTCAAGAAGAACATACGTGGCGAAGGACACAAGAGAAACCTATGTGACAAAGCAGATATAAAGAAAGCTTTATAACCAAATTCAATATTGAAAGCTGCAGCTTGGGTCGCACAGGGTAGCACAAGACAGCAAATAAACACCGTGGCACCGAGCACAAGAGCAGCGTCACAGCAGATAAAATGCAGCAATAAGCTGAGAACTTTCGAACTGCAGAAGAACATTTCCAAATTAACTAAAATAACTAGAAATGTAAAGCTATGACACGTAATAGATGAAACTACAGTGTATGCTGAGATATAAGGGAAGATATAATTTTCAACCTGAAATACAGAACACCCACACTGAGTGTGGGGGATTAAATAAAACTATTTCTAACAATCTCCCTCTCCCTTTGAAATGAGACAAGTGCTTGTTTAATTTGAATGGAAAGAGCTTGCACAGCAGCAGGGAACAAAAATGGGAGGAGGAGGATTTAAATGCACATACTTTACAATTTTCTTTCTTCTAGCACAGCCACCTTTGCCCATCACATGGCTAAAGTAGGAAACCACCACCTTGCAGATAAATAAAACTGGTAACATTAGATCGGCCTACCCTCATGCAGAATTGTGAGTAAGCATAAGTAGATGGATGGTTGCTAAAGTTGACTAGTAGAGAGACTTTGTTGGGCTCACCTGGGCCGTAAACACTATTATGAGGGGCAGGAGGCCTAGAGGCACTTTCATGATATCAAACAATGCTATAGATACAAACACTTTTCCAGGTGTGAGTGTGTTGCTGTCGTTTATCAGGACGTAGCACGCAAAAGTTAACATTGAAACCTAACACATGTTTACACATATTCAATCCAAAGGACAAGCAAAATAATTAAAGAGGATGGAATGAAGAAACATCCAATTCAATTCAGGGTAGATACTAGTTGAACTAATGTGACACCTAAAGAAGACTTTGAAAAAGAGTAAAATGTTAATAGCAGCCTGGATCTAGGACCTTTATTAAAAATATAAATATACAGTGAATGATTCAGCCAGAAACTGGTTTAAAGAAAGGGATTTGCTGTTCCAAGGTTTCTCATCAGCATCTGTAGAAATCAAGCATTAAAAACATCAGAGAAGAGCAGTTGACTTTTAAGCAGTCAAAAACTTGAAGCAAAAAGCAAAGCACTCTTTCATTTTGAATTTGAAAAAGAATGTGACACAACAAGAAAAATGCTTAGACTAGTGCTTCACATGAACCCAAAATAAGAAATTTCCAAACCAAATGTGGTAGCAAAGAGCTTCAAATTGAACTAAATTAACTTTTTGCTTCAAGTTACACCATGTTAGCTGCAGGATTCTGCAGGATTCTGAAAATGTCTCAAGTAGAATACTGTGGAACAGTTGGTCAAACGCAGCATCTGTAAACTTAATAAAGGTCAAAGAAACAGAAGCAAACATAAACACTTCTCAACTTTGACCTGGTTGAGAGGAAGCTGTGGACCATCGGAGAGAAAGGAGAATCATAGTTACAGCATAATGTAGTAACAACAAAAATGTAACCGAATATAATGTAAAATAAGAAATATAATCCTGGCCCTAAGAAAACTCACCAAGAAAGGCGCACAAGCCCAAATAAACGCAGTTCCAGCATTTAAGTACGCAGCACTTTTAAGTACTCGTATTTCTTTGTTACGAATCTTGAGGATTTTCTCCTCAAATGATGGTTCCCAGGCATACAGCTTAAGCACTTTCATACCGCTTAAAATCTGAGAGTAAACAAAGGTTCATTATTATTATTATTGACGCCAAGTCTCCCGCTTTAAATGCTTGTTGAAAATTTAGTGGCATACCTCATTCATCAGCTTCACACGTTCGTCCTTGTACTTCATCTGAGTTATTTGTAAGTTTTTCACCTTGCTGGCAATTACACCATTCACAGGAATAAGAATGATCATGACAGCCAAACCAGCCAGTACAGATGGCCCTGAAGGATGAAGAGGCTTGGATAACTTCTTGGATTACTAGGAATTGAAGTGCGGCAAAAGGAACATACCTAACGTTTCCCAAAGGAAGTACAACGCAAGAGCAATCTGGAGGGGTGCAGACCATATCATATTGATATATGCTGTGAGATCAATAAAACGTTGTGCATCAACTGACATTAGATTCACAATTTCTCCAACGGTAGATTCCTTCCGTGCACTGTTGGACATGCGAAGAGCCTGAAAGCAACAATAAAATTAAATATAAAAAATTGTTGATGAATGACATGAACCCAAGAGGAGCTCACGTATCTTACCTTTCTGTAGATGGCTGAGACCAAAGCTGTCCTGATACGCATTCCAACGAGAAACATGCGATGGAAATACTGAGCCAGGAACAAGGTTTGGATCATAGCAGTGAGTAGCATGGCAAAGGCATATAAAAGGCCCTTCCACAAAGGTTCCTCTCCACCCACAAAAGCGATAAGTAACCTAAAAAAAATGTGAGTTAGAAATTGACAAATAATAGAGCATTATACACTTTTCACACGCCATATTAATGAGTACAATATGCTTACTTGAGAACTTGAGGACTGACAAATGTGAGGATATCAACAATTAACTTCAAAGCTGCTCCAAACACAAATGTAGGTCCAAAGGCTTTGCACATAGCAGGAAGCACAGAAGCTTGCTTTTGAGTATTCTTAGTGGTGCTGGTCAAATCAACACTACCAGAAGACTTCCTGAAAGAAGCTTTGGCATTAGGCGTCTCTTGAGTCCTGCAAAACAAAACAGAAATTTAACAAAGCTGTCACAGTATTTTACTAATAAAGCAAAACCTTCTTGACTGCCATTTATTTAAAAAGAAAAAATTACACCACACTGAAATTAACATACCCAGAAGACTTCTGCACAGACTCCTCCCAATACTTGTTGAAAATGGGCATAATTTCACTGGCAGCATCCTCCGGCTTCATTGACCACAAGTCCTTTGTTTCAAGGGGATTGCGGAATCCCTTCCATGCAAATTGATCAAACCAGAGGAAGAACAGTTTGCTGATGAATGATGCTCCAAGTTCTGGGCATAGATTCTAATAAAAAGAAATTTTTGAAAAAGATATTAAAATTTTGGAGAAACGTTATACAGACCTGCTAATCACAAGACATCATAACACGACTAAATGAAAAATAAACACACAACTACCTCAGTCTTGGGGTAATGTAATTGCCTTGGCTCAGCATCAGCAAAACAGTTCAAAATGAACATAGCAAACACTAAAGGTAAATAGATCATGTAGCTAATGAATGGGAACTGCTTTCTAGCATCATCTGGTCGCTGCACAGAGAAAGAGGAGGTTAAGGCAGTTAACAAAACATTCCAGTCCCTGTTTCTGCCACAGAATGCACTTAGTCAAATTTTACCTCATTCAGTTCTTCCACAAGTTCAGTGCGGTACTGCGGAATACCGCAAATAAGTAGGAACAGCCAGAACAATGTGAGTAGGCCTGAACTGCAAATACCATGTTTCCGGTTGTAGAGCAGCAACACTGCACTAAGAAGCTAGAAAGAAACATAAAAAATTAAGAAGAGAAGCAGATTTAAAACATAAGGGAAATTTAGAAGGCAACTTACGAATGTAGCTATCTTTATGAGAGGAGTGTAGAAATCCACAGAATACACTTCTAAACCATTGCCACTCCGGTGTGCAGCATTTCCCATATCTCCTATTGAGAGAGCAACTAATAAAGCTGTGATAGCCTGTTTAGGAGAAGAAGACATAATTTAATATGGTGAACAAAAAAGGAGAGAAGCAAACAAACAATAACACTATACATACGTCCAGAAATAACTTACCAATTTTGAGATATTCAGCCAGTTCCATGGTACATCCCTATTTTTACTTCTAACTATGTAATATGCTTCTAAAGGAGCAAATACAAATAGAAAAACACAGGGTGCCCATACTAAAGCTGTCTTTTCAAAACATTTTGTAAAATCAGGATCTTCTGTCTCCCACGTTCTTGTTACATTCTGAAAGAACACAAAACAAACACTTAAAAAGATACTCAAGAGTAATTTCCGTTTGAAGCAAAAGGTGCTTGTTGTGGCACCAGAGTAGAATTGGCACAGCAAGGCTACAAGCCAAGTCATGAAATACTTTTCTGGTAAAAGAAAATTGGTAAGGTTTTCATTCAAAGTACTGAAACAAATGGGGCTCATTGATTTGACAAGCAGAGTAATAATTGATCACTGTCATTAATGCAAAAGTGACAGGCAAGTCAACAATTATGATAAAAATACCATCTTAGACTCACGGCAGCAACATGTTAATGTTTGAGTGAATCGTCCTTAATTCTTTCAAAGGCAAAGGGCTTTTCTTGGAAAAAGGATTAGGGGGAAAGCCAGGACAAACCATAAGGCGTTGGCATTGATAGGGCAAATTACAACAGGTAGGGCATGTAGGGCCGCCTCTCCGGTGCGAATACCGAGACTCCACAACCAAACCAAAAATACAGACTCATGACATTTCAACAAAGAGCACCGGTTCTACCGAATACAGACCGTGCGTGAGATGACTTTCGATATTCTGAAAAATATCCGCTAGTTTAACATTGCGGCTTGTGGGAGGACAACCTGGACGCTACGGTCGAGCTTCAAAGGCGTGTCCGACACAAGTTACTGCAGTAGACGGTTTGGTAAAGGGCCTATTCGTTACTCAGCAACCTCAGGAATCGACTTAGATATAAGTTAAATGGAATTCCGCCCTATGACGGTGGAAAATCGTAAAATCTTACCCAGAACGGGGAGCCGCAAAAGGCATCCATGCCTTCGTTCGCCATCTTTGGCTCCGCCGCTCGTTCTGCCCTCTAGAGGTGGAATGCCGAACGTTCAGCCAGAAACAAGCGACGGGACGACGATGTTGTTGTTGAAGATTGTTGTTGTTGTTGTGTTGTGGTGACAGCCAGTACACACACGAGCAGAAGGATTAGGCCGGTCCAAACGTTAACTGACTGTTCAGTTTCCTGCAAATTTAGTCGTCGTCTTAGAACAGGTCACAAGAGTTCCGTGTCGCTGAACACTGCCAAATGGCATCTCGCAAGAACGCGGTGCTGCTCGATGTGGACCCGTCCATCCTGGAGAACAATCTGCTGATTACAGTGAGTGTGGGCAGTGCTGCACTTTTCGGTTTCGGCTTGACACCTGCGTACCGAGAACGAGAATTCATCAGACATACGAGTCTGCCGCTCTGAGACGTTCAGAATCTCGCCTCGATACTTCGCACTATTGATCGTGTTCTAACCTCTCGTACTGCGTGTAGCACTTTGGCTATTCAGCTATTCACATCACTGAAGGCTCTTTTACGACTAAAATCAACATTATGAATTAAGATTTACTTTTTGGTTTCTTTCTCCTGATTTCAATGTAATTCCCTAGCTGTCTTTCAAGTTTTGTGTCGTCAGCATTTGGGTTTTGACATCTCTGTTCGGTTTGCTGGCTACGTGATTAGTGAGTTATTATTTTCTATTAACAGGATCCTGACGGAGGCCTTGATTCCCTGTTTCCCAAGGAGTCCGGCCCTCAAAGCAAAGTTGTAAATCCTATACCAGGTAAGAATCTTCTACGTCAATGTGTTGCACAACTCGCAAACTGCCCTTGTGAAAGAAGCCCATGCAGCGCATTGAACTGATAAAAGCTTGATACTGTTGGCATCCACTGAAACCTCTCCAAGCATCAGGGTTGTCTGTCGCAAGGCTTGGCCTATCTTCTTATTGCTGAAGTCTACAGCACACCCTCCTCATCTCCATCAAATCATCATGACACTCATTCATTCATTCATTCATTCATTCATTCATTCATTCGTTCCGCAATTCACAGTCACCACTTTGCTCCAGCCCTGAGACTTGGCACAGCTGCACAGCACTGAACACACTTGTCGTAATCCCAAGTAATCCACTGGACGGACGGGGCACAGCTCGAAGACACGGCACTGGGACACAGTGTGCTGGACACGGAAACACTCACTGCTAGAACTCTGCTCGACAGCCGGGCCTGTCGTACTGTCACACCGCACTGTCACGTCACTGGGCCTGAAACCTGCCTCTGCAGGCTTTAAGTACGCCTCGGCCTCCGTGCGGCCGTCTGCCCGTCGCGGCGTCGCGGCCTGTAGCTTCAGCAGCCACTGGCACTCACTGGCGCTTGGCGCTTGGCGCTGGCGCGCGCTGTGGTCCCAGCGAGTGGAGCGCGGAGCGGCGAGCGGCGGCCGCTCTGTGGCGCGGAGACTGACGGCACCGGCAGCACCGCAACCTCCACAACCACCACGCGACGGCCTAGCGCGGCGCTGCGGCAGCCAGGCCTACACACTGCACACCACGCACGCACGGCGCACGGCGCACGGCGCACGGCGCGGCGACGCCCCTTCCCCGGCCCTGCAAACGCTTGGCTCTGGCACGCCCGGACAACGGGACGCACTAGGACTAGGCTCTACAGTGTAGGACTCTGAGCTGGTGGTGGTTGGGCGGGTTCGCACTCGCCGCGTCTCGCTTGCGGTGCACCCGGTACCCACTGGTGCCACAGCCTCGGTGTCCTTGCGTCCTTGCGTCTGAGAGGCTCCGAACCTGCTGCTGGCATTCCCTCGCTGTTTCTTTCAAACGACTCCACGCTTTTCAAACGGCTGGCCCTTGGCTAGCCCTTGGCCTGGCAACTGTGGGAACTTCCAATACGCCTGCCCTCCGGTACGCCCGTCCTTCGGTGCGCCCGCCCTCGTTACTGTAGTCGTATAGTCGTAGGGGTTAGTGTCAAAAATCGAGGGGCCGTTTTGACGGCCGCGAGACTTCCGGCTGGCACGAGACTGTTCGCTACAAATTTTCTTCCGCCACGTCACGGTGAACTCGAAAAATCGATGCGGCTGTCTGTCCGCGTCCGCGCAGTGGCCATGCAGTGGCCGTCGCACAGTGGGCCAGAAGACCGGTGGAGCCGGACAAAACTCTTGACGCGTGTTGAGCGTCCAGAGTCGCTAAACAGGCTTCGAACCGAACGTGTGACCCCACCAATGGATGCCTCGTTCGGAGAGCAATCTCGTGGTGGGGTCACACGTTCGGTTCGAGTCCCATTTAGCGACTCTGGAGCTGAAAACCCGTCTAGAATTTTTGCCGCCTCCACCGGTCTTCTGGCCCACTGTGCGTCGCCCTGCGGCCGGCTGGGGAAAACCTTCGGGAAGCCCTTCGCGGGGCGGCGCGGCGCGGCGCGGAGACCCTCGGGAGCCCCGTTCTGCGTATCGACTGCGTGTCCTGCGGACCGGCCGGCCGTTCCACCTGCAGACTCGCTCTGTCTCTCTCGCACCCACACGGGGCGCCCCATGAGTGCGAGAGAGACAGAGCGACTGCGCTGTCTGCGCTGCACCGGGGCCTCGGGGGCGTTGCACTTGGGCGTCGCTCGGGGAAACAATATGCCACCGTGACTGGCGAGATTGACGTGTGGAGATGGGGCTATCTCCCATTAGGATAATCTCGCCGCGGCTAATCTACCAATATCGCCGGCACCACCACACCGAACTGGCTGACCCCATGAGGCACCGTGACCTTACCGTAAAGGGGCCAACCTTTCAGCGAGTCAGTGATTGCCACGCGCACTGTAAGGAAATAGTGCAGTCAAACCAACTAGTTGATAGTTATCATTTTGTCTTGGCATGTTCCCCACTAACTCCTCACTATTGAGATTTTGATAGAAACAAAACTATACACTGCTAGCCCAAGTGTAGGACAAGTTGCAGGCGTAGACCATAATGTCCTACACTTGCAAGTGTCCACCTGTCCTGCCCTGCGCCAGGAAGTGGTGACCCTGCAAGTGTCGACCGTATTTTGTCCTACGCCTAGAAGCGTAGCCTGAAGCTTGTCCAACGATCAACAACCATCAATTTGGCTCTGGCACGCTGGCGGCCAAGGGGTGGTCGACTTTTGCAGGTGTAGGACATTGTGACTTACGCCTGCAAGAGCGAGCATTTCCTTGTCCTGGTCACATTAGCAGAGTAACACGGTTTGACTCAGCTTTTCTACAGTGTACCTGGCCATTTCGCGCTGCCCTGGTACTTTGTCGTTCCGCGTGGTCATCCTTGTGTACTTACTCTACGCGTGCAGTGCTATGTATTTCGCAAGGTTGCGCAACGACAGCCAGTGTAGCAGTGCAGCAGTCAGATCTGGCTGGCAGGGCGGCTGGCTAATCTGGCTAGCGAGGCGATAAGTAGTTAGCGGAAAAGAGAGACCGAACGGTGGAGGGGCCTAGTAGTGGTGTGAAGTGGGCTTCGGCCGAGATCACGCAATCTCTATTTCGGGAATGTATCGCGCTCCTTTTATGTCCTTGTGCACGCTTGCAGGATTATTGCACTTGACGCTAATGGAGCCCTGAGCTAGACTCGCATGCGACATCAGGCCTCGAATTTCTGGGCGACTTGTCGGAAAGAGGAGGGGGAGGGGGCAGTCTGCGGAAATGTGGATGTTTTTATTTTCGTAGCCAAGCCATTTGTTTGTCCCTACACTGCGCGCTCGGTGGTAGAGCGGCAAGATGAGGATTCCATTCATGAAGCTGGGAGAGGATTCTTTCGGACGAGCACGGATGCTGAATGTTGCGATGCCGGGACTGGGTCCAGCGAGTATCCCCCCCCCCTTCCCTTCCGGCCCTGAAACTCGTTCCTGTGGCCACCAGAGTGACGTCATGCAAGGTCAGGGCCGCGATGAGGCGGGGACCGAGGAGGAGAGGACGGGCTGGGTACCGAGGCTAGCCGAGCAGGCCTCCGGAGTCTTGTGAAGGCCCCCCTTCCCGCGGCCGACACGCCCCTCCCCCTCTCCTCCCCCTCTCCTGCCCCTCACCTTACAATCCGAAGGCCGACCGACCGGCCGGCGTCGTCCACCACGCCAGGCCGTCGGCAGGCCGTCGGCAGGCCCGTCCTCACCAAGACCTCTCGGCCCGCCAAGGCGTTCCCATGCCGTGGAGACTCTCGACCCGTTATTGGCAGACCAACCACCACACTGCAATGCCAGTGGTAAGTTTGCTTGCCACGAACTTGGCAAGCCGTTTTGAATGCCAAAAATTGGCAAGCTTGGCCCGGAAATACTCTCCAGCTTGCCAAAATATGACAAGCTTATGAAGAGTGCCGACCAAAGCTTGCCAAATTTTGGCATTCAAAACTGCATGCCAAATTTGTGGCAAGCAAACTTACCACTGGCTTTGCAGTGCATGCTGTGTCTGCTGTTGCTGCTGGTCAGCTCAGCCCGAGCAGTGTACCATCACGCCTAGAAAATCGCTCTGTACTTTAAAATATCTTGGAGAACTTGTAGAGAAAAATTTACCCTCCAATCTCCCGAAAATTAAAAAAAAATTAATTGTCTCTATTTTGAATGAGTTATTTCCAACAGGTACAGTACAAAGAAAGATCGACGCCTTTATAAATTTCTGGCGGAGCTTCAAAACTCCACTTTCCGGGACTTTCAAATTTACTTTTAACGGTGTGGTGAATGTCACGCCACCCTTTATCCGCTCATCAGAGCGCTGCCAACCGAAGCACCCGAAATAAATGTGCGTCCAATTAAGTTGTTGCAGTGGGCACGTGAATGGCGAGCGAAAGTTGGCACCTCTGCCGGACAGGTGACATGCGTCGGCTAGCGTCGGCCAGCGTGCTCGCGTTCGCACGCCTCACGCGTACCTCGCCCCCCTGCGGCGTTGCCAGCCCGCCCCCAAATCAAAAACAATACGACAAAAGTTACGTCGTTTTAAACGTGTACTGCAGTTCTAGAGATCGTGATGCAGGGGGTTGTACTGGCACACTGCGAAAAATAAAATATTTCGTAGTGCGATTGGGACCATGTACGTCAAATGGGATGCGGCAAAAACGTTCACAGTTTTCTCTGAAGTGAAAGAACGCCTGCGAGCTTCGGGGTAGGCGACCCGGTGCGCTCCGGTGCGTCGAACGCGGAGGGTTGCCTACCTGCACGGGGTTCCAACCGCCTGCGAACTCGGGGGTAGGCAACCCGGTGCGCTCCGGTGCGTCGAACGCGGAGGATTGCCTACCTGCACGGGGCTCTAACCGCCTGCGAACTCGGGGGTAGGCAACCCGGTGCGCTCCGGTGCGTCGAACGCAAAGGGTTGCCTACCTGCACGGGGCTTTCATGCGGGAGCCCCGTCGCGCTGTGTCCCGTGGGAACGCGTTTCAGCGAAGTCCCATCAATGTGATGCGAAACAAGTGTAAGAATGGGACCACGTGACAAGCCCATGACGTCATTTTGAAAAGGCCGTCTCTTGGTAAAGTGACAAAACCAGAACTCAGTCTTTGACTGTTCGTGGAGTATCGTGGGTTGGACGCAATCGCGGATCGCGGGCCACTGCCTGAACTTCACCCACAGATTGATTCGCCGAGAGTCGGTTTCGTCGCTCTGTCTCTCTCGCACCTTTACGGGACGCCCCACGCGTACGAAAGAGACAGAGCGACGAAATCGACTCTCGGAATCAGGCTGCTCGCCGCTGCGTCGCGGCTTGGTCTTGAGTTCCTTGAGGTGGATCCGAGCGCAGGCTCCCTGCCCTGCGAGGGTTGGGAGCGGCAGGCGAACGACAGCACAGATTCGAAGCGCGAAGCGTGCGGGTGCGAAACTGCGAAGTCTTGAACCGGCCCGTCGCGACGCTTCGAATCTGTGGCAATGCGGTGAGTCACAACCATTGTTTGTGGCACCTGCTGAGTGGTGCCGCGAGGCGCGGTTTCGCCGCTCTGTCTCTCTCGCACCACTGCGGAACGCCCGTGAGTGCGAGGGAGACGGAGGCAGTGCTCTGCCTGCTCTGCCTGCAGACGCCGCGCCGCTCGGACCGGCGAAGCGAGCGAAGCGAAGCGGCCGTATCATTTCAATAAGGGTTATTCCAATCTGCGCCTCCGCGGCGCCTTTAAAAGCACCTGCATTGTGGCGGCGGATAAGAGCGGGTAGTAAACAGAAGGTATCAACAGGCGCATTCTGGTTTGCCGGTGCACTCACAGTGGCTCGCACAGTGGGCCACAAGACCGTTGGAGGCGGCAAGAATTCTAGACGCTTTTTGAGCTCCAGAGTCGCTAGATGGGACTCGAACCGAACGTGTGACCCCACCAATGGATTTGCTCTCCGAACGAGGAATCAATCGGTGGGGTCACTCGTTCGGTTCTAGTCCTTTTCAACCACTCGGGAGTTCAAAACGCGTCTAGAAT